CCTACCTGAAAATTTCTGATTATAAACTTTCTTTTTACTCTATCTGTCTGAATTCTCACTACGTAGTCCTTTCCAGCATGGCAAGCATTGTCCTTTCTCATAAAGAAATACGTGAAGCTGTCAATGTCAGTGAGGGAGAAGACCCTTACATTGGTATGTTTATATAATCGAAGATTATATCCTTTGGCCACTATTCTAATGCTTTAATAGAGGAATTTATAAGAACCTTAGATGCAATGCGGCTGGAAGAAGATTACGAACCAGTCGACGAGCTCCCCTGTGTTAAGGCAGTTCAAGATCTAGTGCAACTGGTGGAACAGCTCCAAGAAGAAATCACAACACTGACAACTGTCAAAAAACGAACATATACTAAATGGAACAAGGATGATGAAGAAATCAAGAAAGCAATTAAAGATTGTGCCCTTGAAAGACGCGACTACGGTAGAACCAAAGTTCCAGCAGCTACAATGCATCGCTGGGTTATGCAATTTATCGATACTGAGGAAGGTCAAGCAGTTTTGCGAGAGCATCATTTGAAAACCAAATAAATGCATTTCTTTTGTCAAAAAATAATTTTTTTTCTTCATACAGTAGTCTGTCTCTTTATTTTTGTGAATCATCACAAATACTGGATAAGATAACCTTACAAACATCTATTACTGGATCTTTTTGGTGGTGTCACAAACCAGCAATATAGTTTAACGGCATATGCGTAAGAAAACTAAGCCGTTTGTAACTATTTTGTATCCCGAAAGCATGTGGTTACATAAGAGAAAACCATAAACTATTTAAACCAAAGACAAGTCTATTTTCCGAATGTATAAATCACTCTATCTTTTTCGTAACAATGAACAACAACAACAACAACATCTCCTTTACAAAATTTCTGGAATTTGAATTGTGGGATGAATCCATGTTGGAACCATTCGATCCGAGTAAGTTCAACTAAACATTACTATCAAAAAACAGCGCGTTACTCATCTATTTCCATTATATATAGCTACACCTACGGATATTCTTCCGGAAGAAGACCTGGGCAACCTGGTTTACCTTGTAGTTGACAAAATGGAAACCAGTACGTCCCAAACACATTTTACCATTATTCAAAAGATGCGTGCAACTTGTTAATTTTTAGTTTACTGATGTAACAAAAACATATCTTCTGTCTAGGTCAACTGGTCCATAATCAAGGTAGCCAGGAAGACCAGGTCAGCAACAACAATTATGGGGTTAACAGAACCTTTCATACTGACTCCAAACAAGCATACTTGATCCACCTCTACTTTAATATGGGGTGGTCAATACGAAAGGCAGCGGAGGAAGCAAAGATCCCGAAATCAACAGCACAAAGATACATAAAAAATAAAAAAAATAAAAAAAATAAATAAATAAGCTTTCTTGGAAAAAATTACTTTGACTGGTTTGAGTCATAGATAAATGGTGGTGGTATGAGTGAGTAGGACTATAGGAATATTCAGGGACAAAATGGTTGTAGATAGCAATAATGATCAATTAAAAATATGATATAACATCTAGTCTTACTATTTTTATATATTCCTGTAACCATAGATTTATATTGTGGTATGAGTGTGGGTGTGGGTGTGAGTGACATGTGAGATTGAGCTTGGGTTACATTTTAAAAACATATAAAGCAGCATACCTGCAATGGCAAGAATTGTTTCACTCATTCTCAAGATGTCGCTTAATCTCTGGCGTTACTTCATTACGTCGTATCACATCGTCACAGCTCTGCAAATAAAAGGTATTACATCTATTCTTATTAATCTTATTTATTCTTCTTTTGTTTATACTTCTATTATAGAGCGCCATCAAACAGATCTCGAATATCGCGTATACTTCGACAAAGAACTATATTTCCTACTAGATGAAATAGATGGAGAGGAGCTGCTGGATGTAATCTGGCGACGACCAGTCAAGCTGCCAGTGAAGACCAAAGAACCGTTCACCGAGTTTTGGCCGAATGGAATGAAGTCCGCTGGACATTGCTTCTAATGCAGGATCGGCTTTTGTGGATTGAAGAAATTTTCGCAAGATTGAAGTTTCTCTTGTTATGTGAAGTACCTCTTGTATTGTAAATAAAACCTTTTACATACACATGATCATTATTTTTCGTTTGCGATATCTTTTTTTGCGATTCTTTTATGGTTCTCAGAGCATCTATGTTGCTATATAAGGGTGATGTGCTAATCATCTAGTAGAAACTTGCCACTCCTATTATCATGTCTCATACATCTTCCCATGTTTGTGATGTATTTAATGAGATGAACTGCTTTAGTATCTAATGTCATTTTTTAAAAATGATGCCGCTAATGATATAATTCAAACCGCCATTATGAATTTACTATTCTGCCATCAACCTGAAATTACGGCCGCCATTATGAATTTATTATTCTGCCATCAACCTGTAATTCGGCCGCCATTGTATTTTTTTCCTCCTGCCATTCACGAAAATCACACCGCCAATCACAAACACCCCCAACGACAAAGTGAAAAAAAAGCCCCGCCATGATGGGAAAAAAAGCCCCGCCAATCATTAGGAAAAATCCTGTATACTGCTCTTTTGCAGTTGCTCCTTGATTTAAGTTGCTAGCACTGTTGGTTACACATTGTGTTCCACTCAGCTTAACATATGGTATCTTTTAATATTATTACGACCCATTAACTTTTACTTTGTTACTAGCGGTCCTTCCTCGCTTCGCTCCGTGTCATTCAACGAAAACGCGTCGCAGGGGGTTTTCCCCCTGACCCCCTAGGTTAGGGGGCAGGCCCCCCAAACCCCCCTGTGGAGCGAAGGTTAGATCAATGTCTTAGTATTAGATGCTTCTAGTCTGTTTTCAAATAACAAAAGCAGGATGATTGTGCAGTGAGAAGTAGTCTATCATAGGAAATTGTCAAAGTTGGATACTTAACTATCGCCAATTTAAAACCCTAAACAGCTTCGCTTCACGGATTACTGAATGCTAAGTCCTGACCACCCGAACCGCTATACTATTATCTAATCTATCAAAGAGGAGGTCTATATTTGAGAGTATGTTGATGTTGTGCAGTAAAAGATAATAATAAGGTGAAAACAACAGGAAATAAAAGGAGAATTATAAGTGAATTGACAAAAAGTGCAAAGGCCAAAGCATAAAAGCTATCTATAGTTAATTAAAGTACCTCAGTATATACAACATTTCTGGTGTACATGCCTTCTTGACCGTCAACCTTGGAATCATCACGATCCAAGGTGATCAGTACAGAGCGTGGCGTTCTGACCCGCGACAATGCTACATATAGTAGACCATGAGTAAAAACAGGTTTCGGTAGATATAGGCCAATTGTGTCAAATGTTTGTCCTTGAGCCTTGTTGATCGTCATTGAAAATGCAAGCCGTATAGGGAACTGTGTCCTTTGGAATTTGATGGGACCTTCGCTCTTTTTCGAAGTAAGTGTGATGCGAGGCAATAGGACTGTTTCGCCAACATGTGTACCTGTGGCGATTTCAGCTTCAATGACATTGCGGCGAAAAGATGTGATGATTAAACGCGTTCCGTTGCAAAGGCCTTGAGCAGTATTCAGGTTTCGTAAGAGCATGACAGGACAACCTGGCTTGCGAGTGAGTTTGTGTGGTGGAAGACCGGAAGGAGAAAGTGAGTTTAAAAGCTCCGTTGGATATGCCAAGGACTCTTCAGGATCGACCATGCTGTCTGCACTGAGAAACTCCTCAGACGTTCCAGGGAATTTTGATTCCAATATTGTTTCGTTGATTGTTGCAACGTCGATATTTTTGGGTGTCAGAATAGCTCGTGACATGAGGAACTCGTGAGAGGGAGAGGTTTTAAGCATATTGCCATATAAAGTGTCAATCAAAGTGAGTAGGTTGTATCCAGGCATTAGCATAGAGTCACGGACTTTGATTCTATCTTCAGTTCCAGGAGCAATTGGCTCTCTGTTTTCACCTATTCGCAATAGATATTCGGCAAACTCTCGTAATTGTTCAAAGTTGTGGGCGTCGGTGGCTTGCTGTACACGCATATTGGTCTGAAGATGGAAGACTTGGGTGTGGCGCCATACATTGGATCGCTTTAAGCATTGTGCCACAATCTGTGCTCGAGAAGCTCTAGGAATGACTGGAAGAACCTGTACAACAATATACAATCAAAGTCAAGTTGTTTACCTCAATACCCTGCAGATTAATAGAAATGTATGATTACCTGGCGAAAATCACTGCCAAAAACAACTAATTTTCCACCAAAAGGAACATGCTTTAATGCCGGGTCTTCTGACTTCATCAGATCTTACAAACTTCGATTGACGCATTCAATGAGATCTTTGCTGATCATTGATGCTACGTCCCATATGATCAAAGTTGCAAGTCTTAGAAGTTGTGCTGTGGCAGATCGTGGTGTAAATGAGCAGTATGTGGTTTGATCCTTGGCATATCCAACGGAGCTTTTAAACTCACTTTCTCCTTCCGGTCTTCCACCACACAAACTCACTCGCAAGCCAGGTTGTCCTGTCATGCTCTTACGAAACCTGAATACTGCTCAAGGCCTTTGCAACGGAACGCGTTTAATCATCACATCTTTTCGCCGCAATGTCATTGAAGCTGAAATCGCCACAGGTACACATGTTGGCGAAACAGTCCTATTGCCTCGCATCACACTTACTTCGAAAAAGAGCGAAGGTCCCATCAAATTCCAAAGGACACAGTTCCCTATACGGCTTGCATTTTCAATGACGATCAACAAGGCTCAAGGACAAACATTTGACACAATTGGCCTATATCTACCGAAACCTGTTTTTACTCATGGTCTACTATATGTAGCATCGTCGCGGGTCAGAACGCCACGCTCTGTACTGATCACCTTGGATCGTGATGATTCCAAATTGGAGTGTCGAGTCACTTTTTTGGAGTGTCCCTAGCAATACCCAAAAGAAATACTTATTGCAAAAAAAAACCGCACCTCACTTTTCCTCACCTTTTCCTCTTCAGCATGTCAGGACCTACTGCGGTATTCCTTACTCATCATTGTTTTGGAAGCAATGAATGCAAATATAAGCCTTCTTCTGCGCAAAGCTTGCGACGCCATTTAACGGCTCAACATCATTATATGTTCCCTTTGCATATCGACAAAGTTCGCCAGCACAACAACGCTACTTATCTCTACGTCAATGAACCCTCCAGCTCTTCAAAGGAAGTCATTATTGACCAACACTATGCTTGTCCTTGTTGCATCGATCATTTTGCTAGCCTCGCCGATCTGAAGGGCCATTTCAAGGTTGCGCATCACACTTACCTTCCTGAACAAATACAAGAGCAGGAAAGTCAACGTCCCCAAGAATCTGCGACTCCGAGCTACTCGCGCTCAAGCACACGTCCTCCTTCCATTACCAGCAACGCTAGCTCTTCGTCGAATAGCATTAGTTCAAAACGACAACATAACGAAGTTCTTTGTCATGACGACTTGAATCTGGATCGTTCATTCGGAGAGCACTTAGTGGTTGACGGTTTCGACGTGTCGGATGCTTTCCGTGCGATGAGGGCTTCGTTGACGGCACACAAGTGGAAGCAATCTTTGGAGGACAATTTGGTTCTGGCCCTTGCATCGACGTCAGTGTTACTCTTGGACCCTCACAGGTATTCGAACGAGATAAAGCCATTTTTCGGCCAGGATGATTGGTGGGCAATCAATGACCACATCCAGCGACTATACGACATCAAACGCCTGCCACTACCTCTCACAACAACAACCAACTTCCTCAGTATCATCGAGCAGCTTCTGAACGATGATATCGACCGTGACGCATCCGAGATCCAGTTGAAGACGATGGCGTTGCAAGCCAAGGAAAAGAGGATGGCGAAGGCATTGGCAAATCTGGTTTCGAAGCTTCCTTTCGTTGCATTAGATGAAGATATCAATGAAACTGAGCTTTGCTCTCGTTTCGTGGAACCCTTCTTGGCTGGTCTCTTCGATGATCCAGCTAAAGGCATCTTCCTGCGTTGGACGAACGAACGTACTTTGGAGGCCAAGGGCACAAAGCCGGCCTGATCTGTGTGTAACAAAGTGCTGCGGCGTCAATTGGACCACCAGCCTTGCTTATGGTGAAGCAAAACCCGCTGCACACAGTAATGACAATTATCTTGTGTGCAAGGATCTGATCAAGGTCGCCATCTTTTGCAAGGAGGCGCTGGACAAACAATCCTTTGAAGGCATCTTGGGCATTCAGGTCATTGGCAGAATGGTTGTATTCTATCTGCTCACTTTACCATCTCAAGGCCTGTATACCCTCATCCCCCTTGCAAGCATAAAGATACCGGACAGCATACAAAGCTTACCTGCTTTGGTCACCGATACGCCCGCCATCCTCAAAGTTCTGGATGTATTTGATCGGCTTTGTGTTCGTGCTGCGTGCCCAAGCGTCATCAGCGACCGATGTGCACCAACGTTACCAATCAATAATATCCAACAACTCTTTTCCATGTCCAAGAGTCGCAAGAGACAATGTGTGCTCCAGCAGCGGCACAATTGACATGTGATCAATAAAAGTTACTTTTTCTCACCTCCTTGTATGCTTATCAATTACGTAACTATGCGCGTTGTCACGATATGAGCAGCAGCATCCTTATACTTTTATTTTCATCTTCAAACATTCACTATCATACTTCATCAACCTGTATTTCTCTCGTGGTTCATCATACTCTATCACTTTGTTGATCTTTTCCGCATTCCCTCCCTCGGTACAATAACATACAACAAAAAAAAATTTTTTTTGGCATCTTAAAGCTTTTCCTTGTTGAGACACTGAAAAAAGCATCTCGCAGAATGGGAAACAAAGCCTTCAAAGCCACTGAAATATAAACTATTACATGCCTCACCAATTCTAGTCCATTTCATCAAAAGTGGCTCAGATAATGACCTGTCACTGCTCCGATGCTATAAGCAATAGTCTCACATCCAAGCTTTCACATTGCGACGTCGCTTGTGTCTCTGACATGCTCTTTGTACACTTCTTGTCGTTGCCGAATTAGTGTTATAGTAAAGCTCGAGTGAAATATCCACACTATATCCTGTTCTTTTGCAGTTGCTCTTGAATTTAAGTTGCTAGCACCATTGGCTGCATATTTTGTTCCATTCAGCTTACCATATGGTCCCTTTCAGTATTATTACGACCCAGTTAACTTTTACTATGTTATGCTTGGCTACTTGGCTTTTATTCATGTTCAAAACTGTCCAGACGTCCGGTATGAGGTAGAAAAATCCTCTATACTGGCCACTAAGAAGCCAGTGGAGCATCCCTTATGTTACTTATTGCGGTTACCGAGCTTGCAGTGACAGGATCACTTCCTGCACAGCACATGCATCCAATGCAACCAATACATTTCGCTCAACGTGTCCTTGTACCGGAAGTGGCAGCGCGCATTGTTCGGCAAGACCTTAGTGTATATTATGTTAGAGCATTACTAATACTGGATGACAGTAGAGTATATGGAATGATACCCTTTCCTACAGATGAAAGTGATAGTGACAGCGGTGAATAAAATTCTCTTGAAATATTCTACAGTATCTCATATTTTCTTCATATACCTACCTTGTTCGATAACATATATTTCTCTCAGTACAAAACTTAATCATCTTTATAGAACAATGTTGTTTGAAGCTCGAATATTACCCACTTTGTTACAGAAGAGATGTATATTGTCCTATCAGAACAAACTTTTGGCAAAAGACTACATACGCTGCGCGAGGACCGAGAGGCAAAATGGGTCGCAGCGCGTGTGGTAATCCTCATAATATTTCGCCGGAGAAGGAGTACGCAATGCTATTCGGATCACCTAATTACTGTACAGGTCAAGGCAGCAGCACTGCATCAGATACAGAGATCTGATTACTGACATATATTCTATCTAGCCGGCCAAGTAGTGCATTGTGAGCATAACGCGGCTTGAGTCTGATATATAAGGAGCGATGGATCTGATGTCTGGCACGCAACATCATCTGTTTTGTAGATACATCAGGGTATGAGACTTTTACAGGTTGTTTACGCATACACTTTTTATATACATCATGTTTGGCAGATCATATTTTGTATGTAGTATCTAGATAACTTTTCTACCATGTCAACACACTATGTATCAACGAGAAAAAGGCATGGATACGCGTTTCCAGATATTGAAAAAGAAAGTCGTATCAGCTACTAGTAATAAGAATTATGATGCCCCACTATGCCAAATGATATCCAAACCATTGTACGCTGCCTTGAGGAAATCGACGGCGGCCGTTTTTCGATAATCAACTATGGATGAATACGCGTTTCCATCAAGGAGATAACTGATTCAGACAAGGCACAAAGAAGCCATATAGCACGGGAATTTCTTCTATGGTGTTATTACATATTTACATATAGAATGAAAGAAAGCAAGATCTGGTAACAGTAATTTTCTGGCAAATCCGACACAGTCCCGATTTATTTTTTCTCCAGTGAGTCGGTGGTGTACGAGCATAAAATTGGTTTTGAGTGACGCGAGACTTTTCTTTTTTCTGTTCGTTGTCTTTCCCCTTTCCTTTTTTTTTCCGCCGATCATGATCACTGTGGTGGAGCAGCTACTGGCGTGCTCAACATATAATGAGCTCGTCATCAAAAAGCATGCTGCGATAATTGGCGCCTTTCTCCTCGTCAACATTGTGATTAAACTGCTCAATATATCTATCCTACGTGCTATTTGGTTTTCGCCTGTTATGCATTTCCTTGGTACTTTATAACTTTTTTTTAACTCTTTCATACACGATATGGTTAGCCTTTTGTTAGCTTCCTGTCTGTTTTCTTTTGAGACGGTCGCATTTTTCGCTTGATTAATTGATCACGTTCTTTTTGTTTGGTATACAGAAACGTGCGGCGTCGTCTATTGTATTTGTCAGATTTGGCAACATTCGAAGCACATGTTTCCCCAGATCATTGATTGGAAGTCTCCATTCTTTGAAGGAGCTTTTGAAGTTGGACCACTCACCCGTAACATTGGCAGCATACCTTGCGTCATTTACAACTTTTTTAAGAAACTTAATTCACCAAACAAACCGGTTACTTCTCCAAACCAACAACAACAACAACAGCAACAACCAACAGGCGCGCCAACACTTAGCACGACTACTTACCAACCAACAATGCCAGCGTTCCGTCTTCAATACCAGCCATGGAGTGGTCCGATTGCTGATTCGCCAGCAGGTAAATTACAAATGGAGAAAAGTGTGCATAGGATGCATATTTCACCTTTTTTCTGATTCGGAACGGTTTTTTTTTGTAAAAACGCGTTATAATAGAAGCAGCTCAAGGCCTTTTCCGAAGAGCTGATACCGGCAGCGGGGGACGCAGTACTCAAGATTGGAGAGACCTCGCATATACTCCTGTTCCTGAACGCATGGGCGATCCAGCACTCGGCATTAGTTTGCCAAAACTAGAATATCGACCCGCTTATACTCATCGACGAAAGACGACAGAGCGCTTAAATAAATCTCTCTGGCAACTCAACCCTTCCCCCATCATCGTGGACCGTTTCAGACATGAACAGGTATGGATGAAGGACGATTTGGAACCGAAAAGGGCATCCTTTCTTTTCCTTTAGTTGCTAATCGTTTAAAAATTATAATTGGTATAGGAGGAAGATATGAGAAAGAAATGGGATCTCTTTGAAGATAGATCGTCGAAGGTCTACTATGATAGACTTCGTCAGGTATTTGAAGAAGGATGAGTTTTAAAAAAGCTTCATGGTAGACATATAAAGCTGCTCTTGCTAATCAGGATTTACTCATGCTATTTTTCTAGTGGCTTACCACCAATATAATGGATCCTACCCTGAAAACGGTTTCACTTGTTGAAAATCAACTTCCACAGCAAGGCACAAACTTTGTGAATTGTCCACCTAATATTCTGGCATTGTTGATAGTTGAACCTAACACTATGGTAAGAGCATAAACGGAGATGAATTGGTAGGAGAAATATGTGATAATCGCTTTGCTAACCAATTGTCTTTCCCAGGCCGACAACGCGTTTCCTATCATGCTAGTCCAAAAGCTGATTTCAGTGAAGGGATATGAAAACGATCGTGCTCGACAACATGTACTGGAACGTTTGAAGGGTAAGAAAGTTAAAAAGCTTGGAATTTAAAAGGAAATAGTGAGACGGCTAATACTCGAATTATAAAATTAGAATTGGTCAACAGACCTCGGTACCACAGTCTTCTCAGTGAGGCAGATCTACCCAGTGATTCTGAAATCATTATCCATATTTTCAACACTTATTTGGAACACATGATGCCGCACATTGTTCCATTGCTTGTCCCTGTAAGTAATGCTGATATTGGCAATGATGATTAAAGGTCTCGGGTTGTGTTGATACTTACCTTTTCTTGCATAGCTCCAAGGTGGCGATGTGTACAAGTTGCTGTTGGTATTCTTCTTCATCAACGAAGAGTAAGTAATATGTCATGAACGTTGAGGCTATTTTGTCAACATATCACTAATATCTGCTCTTTTTACGTTTTCTTTACTAGACTCAAAAAAGAAATCTTTGATTAAACCTACACTGCACTTGCACATTTTCCCTTTCACATTTCATTATGGCATAAATAAGCATCTAATAAAACTTAACTTTTTACCCCGTGGTGTTGTACATATAAATCATTAAAGTCGAGTCAATATGAGTAGCTTTAGCAATCAGGAACGATATCTGTTATTCCAGTGGTAAACCAATTGTTTATTAGCCGATGTACTATGCTCACTGTGTGTATAGCCTCAGATACTTTGACCATCTCGCTATTTTTCCTCCGTGGCCGGGCTTCTGACCATCATACGAGCGAGGTAGTCAAGTCATGAGTGTGGCATATCAACGACAGCTCTTGCATGTATACGTAGAAGAAATGTGACGCACAGATGGAAAGTACGTGTATGTCGTGATAACAATTCACCTTGAGCAACAGAAAAAAAAGTTCCCCTCTCTCCGACAGCAGCGCACACACGCACTCAGCACTCTTTCTCTTTCTTTATGCCACGACTATACGACGAAGAACCACGGTCCATATTTATTATCCCCAACCCATTCCGTGCACTTTCTCATAAAGCACGACAAATTGGTGTCTACTCATCAGGCATTTTGGTAATAATTCTTTGAGACAGACTAAGCTATTCCTTTGTTTTTTATGGAACAATTATCTTATTCATTATCTTTCCGGGATTCTTATGTTTGCAAATAGTTTGCGCTAGGTTGGTGGGTATTCATCGATGCACTCATCATTTCAGCACAATCGGACACAGATGCAAAAGCCCACATGGGCTTTGAAGATTGGGTATCTGGTATATTGTCGACATTGGGTATGGTTGTGTAAGTACAGAATTTTTAAAATGTGTGGGGCGACATATGCAACGAAAAGGGGGGGGGAGGTTGGCCGTATGTTGAGAGAAAGAGCTCAAAAGACAAAAATACTGACTGTGTGTATGGATACATTGTGCAGAATCAACTTGATTGACAAGTCACGGTTACATGGAGATGCATATGAATATGCAGGCAGCAGCCTGGTGTGGAAAGCTCGTTTGTTTCTATTTCTTGGATTTGCATTGATAGCGGGCGGATTTGCGGGATCTTTTGTAAGTTACGATGACGATAAACGCGGAGGAGTGAAAAGTGTCTGCAAATCCCGCGGATTGGAGCTAAGAGAAATTCGGGATATTATATAGTGCGTCCTGATTATCAAGTACATTGTCTATTTCGAGTCTGCTCAACCATACACATACTATGGCGCAGCGATTGTCGTCCAGTGTGGACTAATAATGATCAGGTGAGGAACTATCATTGCGAGCGAGAATAGGAAGAAGGGACGAAGCTTAACAAACGTGTACTGTGTGGTTGATATCTATCTAGCACGGTGGTTCTTTGGATTGCACAAAACACGCAAGAGGTAAGGCGTCATTTTTTATTGTATGTAAATTTCTTTTAAGGTTGCACTCACACGTTTTGTGCGCACACACACACATACAACAGGAGTTCGAGTACAATATGCGACTCTAAGAAACGCAATGGATGCGTGTGTGTGTGTGTGTGTTCGTTTTGCTGCGTCTGGAGATGATCATGGTTATCAATAAGAATAAAAAAATAAAGGGGGGGGGGGCCACAACAAGTTATATTACCCTAAGGATCGACGTAACAAGATCACGCAAGACACATCACACACATCACACACCGAGCGCACAGAGTATCCAATAATACACACACACACACACACACACACACTCGCACTAAAGGTGGAAAGGGAGGAGTAGAAGAATAGGAAAGGAAGCAAAAGCACATCACGTACTAGTAATAATAAAAGGCCCACTGTGTCATCAAAACCCTTTTTTTTATATCGCCTTGTGTTACATGAATTCTCTCTCTCTCTCTCTCACTTCTTTTTCGCGCCTCTGGACCTCAAGGTTCTCCTTTTCCCGTTTCTCACATCACTTTTTGTCTTCTCATCCCACCTTCTTTTCGTCTTTTTTCTTCCTTCTCGCCCTAGTAATTGGACGGCCTGTGATCTACATTGAACAAGCCATTCCCACTTTAAGCCCTTTCTCCCCCTTATTTTTAACTGGTGTAGAAGCGAACACATAGTGCACACACGACACTACAACCTTTTATAACTCTTGCAAGTTACATGACCGCTCATACTAGCGTAATGACGGATCGACGCAGTGGGATGATCCCGTCGTTGGGCTATCCACAGACCAGCACGATCGTCAGTCGAGCAGTGGCTGCTGCTGCTGCAAACAACCACCACCACTCCACTCGACGCGGCGGCAGAAGCTCGAAACGCTATTCCGTATCAGCGTTCTATTCCATGGCAGCTGAACAGGACGTCGAAGTCGAAGACGAACTGGCACAGGGTTAGACTCGTAAAAAATAAAGAAAACGTTTGGACACAAGAGGCAACAGCTGTTAAAAACAAACTCTTTTGAAAAAAAAAATCCATATAGCTCAACGTACATTGCGTGATATGAAATCCAAGATATCAGCACAGTCGAAAAAGAACTTTATGCTCGAACGCGATGTCCGGTTCCTCGATTCGCGAATCGCCTTACTAATTCAAAACCGAATGGCATTGGATGAGGTACGTCCAGATCTTGATTGATAGAAGAAAGAGGAGCTTATTGCCATGATTCTTATGATTATAATAAAAAATGGCGTTACTAATTGTTGCAAGTACTGAAATAGCAAAACGAAGTTGCTTCGCATTTGGAAGAACACGACGACGACAACGATGACCATTATCCAGATGATCGAAGAATGCAGCAATATGGGAACCTATTCTTCTTGCTACAAAGCGAGCCTCGCCATATCGCAACGCTGTGTCGTTTGGTGAGCCTATCTGAAATCGACACGTTGTTACAAACAGTGATGTTTACGCTGTATGGTAATCAGTACGAAAGTCGTGAAGAGCATCTCTTATTGACCATGTTCCAGGTACAATCACACAAAACCTAAAAAAAAAAATAATCAAAGAGAGAACAATAGAAACCCGATTTAAGAAGGGTGGGAAAAGAGAATGAATACAGATTAACTCAGACTAAAAAAAAAACCTTCTTTCAGAATGTGCTTGCAGCCCAGTTCGAGACGACAGCAGAATTCACGTCGTTGTTGCGAGCAAACACACCCGTATCACGCATGATGACCACATACACACGACGCGGACCTGGCCAGTCGTATCTAAAGTCTGTTCTGTCGGACAAAATCAATGATCTGATTGAACGAGAAAATTTAAACTTGCAGATCAATCCACTCAAGGTAAATAAAACAAAGTTCCGTGGAGATGCCAACCGCAGCTTACAAAGAGGATACTGACCCTGTGCGGTGTTGCTGAAACTACAAAGGTTCAAGAGGAAATCATTGAACGTGCGGAAATGGAGAGCGGGGGCGAATCAGGCATGACCAAGAGTGCATCGGCTGAAGAGGCTGCAGCTGATCCAAACGTCAAGGCATTGATCGAACCTCGTCTACAACGACTCATTGACCTTGCCAACTCATTTTTGAGCACCATCATCAACTCACTCGACCAAGTGCCCTATGGTATCCGGTGGATCTGTAAACAGATCCGGTCACTGACGAAACGCAAGTACCCTGATGCCAGCGAATATGCTATATCGTCCTTGATCGGTGGATTTTTCTTTCTACGTTTTGTGAACCCTGCTATTGTGACGCCCCAAGCTTACATGCTGGTTGATGGCAATCCGAGCAATCACGCGCGCACAACCTTGACCCTGGTAACATATCCATAAATCACGCGCTTTTTTAGATGAAGAGTCAAACTTACACGTGATATGTTGCTGCTCCACCAGATTGCCAAAATGTTACAAAACCTTGCAAATAAGCCAACGTACGCCAAGGAAGCATACATGATCCCCACGAACCCATTCGTCGAAAACAACAAGGCACGCATCAACAAGTTTTTGAACGACCTATGCGAAGTAGGCGATTTCTACGAGTCGTTGGAAATGGACCAATACATGGCACTTTCAAAGAAGGACATTATGATCAGCATCACGCCCAACGAAATTTACAACACACAAGCGTTGCTTCAACAGCACATTGACATCTTGGCAGCAAAAGAGACGGATCACTTGCGCATTCTTGTGACAGAGGTAGGCCCGGCGCCGCCTCAAGTCCCTAGAAAAGACAACAAGCCTATCGAGCTGCCGTTATTTAGTCGATGGGAGATGCCTATCCAAGGTAATGCAAATGAAAAAAAGAGGTCTTTTTAGTAACGTCACACAAACTTTTATGCGGATTTTTAATAATCATTTGCTTCTACACTAAAAAGATCTCACAACGACGCTCATGTCGGAAAACAATATTACACAAAACGATATCTTGTACATGGAGGCCAAGGCTATTTTTGTACAGTTGATCCGTTCGCTGCCACACCTAGCACGCAAACCATTGAACTTGCAGCGCATCGCTGAGACGGCTGGTACCGCCAATGACGCCCAACTTGTGCGCAAGGGAATCAAGGTCAAGGAAATGTTACGGGAACTCGAAGAAGCGGGTGTCACGGATCGACGCGACGGGTATCGGTTGCTTGTTGAGGAAATTACACAAGAGTTACAGCACCTTGGCGATCTGAAAGTCAAAGTGATGGAGGAAATGCATTCGCTCGAGAGCGTCTATCAAACGATCCAAGATCACAACAATTATCTAAAGAGTCAGCTCGAAAGCTACAAGGCCTATTTGCAGAATGTCCGCATTCAGAGTGGTGGAGGCGACAAGTCCAACAAGAAGCAGGTCGGCATTGGTGTCCAGGTCACCGAGGGCAAAGTCAAGCAAAAGGTTGGCAAAACACATATGCAGGGTCCTGTCAAGTACACGCACCAGCAGCTTGAACGTGAAGGAATCATTGCCGAGACTGAGGTGCCAGAGTATAGGTATGATCTGCGCTAGAAGTGGTAAACAAAAAGGGAGTTGGGTCTCTCTTTTGGATGAATCGCGCTAAGCCCTTTTTTGCTTTCTACTAGACGGAGCAACATTTTCTTGACAATCTCGTCCCCTATTCCAGGGACTTTTATTATATCGTTACACTATAAAGGTAGAGTCCAACCAACATAAAAGGAGCACATGTATCTGTTGCCATGGGGTTGCCATGAGACTAAACTAACTTTATGAATTAAAAAAGGTCGAGACAAGCCCATTCTGGAAATCGATCTGAAATTGGATGATCTATTGGAGAAGCAACAGGATAATGTGCACTTATTAGACCTTGAATACATCAAACTGAATGTTTCCAAGACGCTGCAGCTGCTCACCAAGACATTCATGGCCAAGAACAAGTAAGTGTTATTGCTGGCCCAAAGCAGATGATGCAACTGTGATCTGACATGATACGTTGGCTTAATCTAGAACCGGCTTCTTTTCCTAAAGTTATCTTCCTCTAATCTTCTCTACCCATACACACATTCTTCTTTATCGCTCCAACTTGCCCGCCCCCCCCTTTTGAATACCTACAAAAATTCCGTCATACTCCATTATTTTGTCGCCATCATGCAAAAACCCAGCAGTTAGTATGCTTCCTGCAGACAGCATAGTAGTAGGAAGACTTAATCACCATCATCACCACTCGCCCCCCCCCACCTCCATTACTACTCCAGCACCGTACCCCACCCCTCCGTATATATACATTACAAAGTACATTTTTGTTTCTATGACTATTTTAAGATCTTATTTCATATTCAACGTAAAACAAAACAAGAGACTTACGAGCCCACAAAAAAGAATGCTTATAATTACTATTATTGTTAATTTATATATATATTTTATTCATCAAAAGTATTACATTTGGAAACTTTCTCCTCTCTTTTGAACTAACTGTACAGAAAAAACAAAATGAATGACAATGCAAAAAGAAGTTGAGCGGAGAAAAAGTGGCAGTCCTTTTCTCTTTTTTTCTTTGGGTTGGGTTGGATGTGAGGGGGGATATATCATAGCAATAAATTTATGATCTTCTGGTCTTCTTTGACATCTTGATTTTTTTAGGTTGGAACTGTTTGTTTTCTTTAGCAATGATCTCGTTTGCAGATACATTCTTGCGCTTCTTTGACGAGTTTGCGTTCTTGATGCTGACGACTGGTGATTTGCTTTTGCCCTTGTTCAAGGCTTCCACCTGCGCTTGAGCAGCCGACCAGTCCTTGTCTTCGCCACCAATTGCGTACTGTGACAAATCCAGCTTGTCAATCATCTCGCGCTGCTTGGCCTTGAGTCCATCGACAACTTCGTCACCAGCTTCCTTCAGTTCATCGTCCATGGACTGCTTGAGCGGTCGCCATGCTTCGTCATCCTCAATATCCCGCTTATCCTTGGTACCCATCATTTCCTCGTCTTCTTCGGCAGCTGCAGCTGCTTCAATCTCCTTTTTCTTTTTCTTCAGCTCCGGCGATTCTTCTTCGATAGCGTCGCTCTGGACCTGGGTAAAGTGTTGGCTGACCTTGCGCACAATCTTGACGAACATGGCAAGCACCTGGTTGCTAGCCAGTGACAGTTCCTTTTCCAAGTCTTCAACAGACTTGCGCTGAAGACCAATACCCATCAAGATGGAGCTTTGGACACCAGACAGCTTGACACCAGGGGACAATTCGCCGCGGAAGTACAAAAAGGCAACAGTAGGAATCAAATCGAGAATAACGTGGTAATCAAGCATGTTGTTCGAGTACGAGTCCAGACGCTTCAGATCGTAAGGCGAGAAGTGCATGTCCAGGCGGGTTTTGGTGATACTGTTCGATTCTTGGCGACCGTGATGTGCTGCCTCAAGCACGCTGAGTGCATTGATGACTGGGAATTCACGGAATTGGTACGACAACAAGCTCAGGAAACGTCTGGAGAAATCACCAGCAAACGCATCCAACCAAGCTGCACTTGAAAGACCTCCTTCCAAGGTGTTGACCATCACACATGTATGCTCGCCAGTCAAGTCGTTGGCCGTTTGACGGACATACAAGGGCACAAAGCCGGAGCGTTTCCAGAACTTGTGCAAAGCGGGCGTCATACCGTACGAGACACCGAGGTAGTCAAGACGGGGTGGTCGTCTTTCGCTCAAGTTGGTCAAAAGAGGAGGCATCTTGAGCGGATCACGGACCTTAATTTGATCTGTCTTCAGGTCAGCGTTTTCCAGTTCATCGTCTTCCACACGCGTGATGGTCTCTTCCTCATCGTCACCCGTCGACTCGCTCAAACTAGACATATCGCCCTGGTAGTACGATTTCAGGAGCTCAAGAGCGCGCGAACCGTAACCCATGTTGGCATAATCGGGGTGAGTGGCGATACGAACGACACGTGCACCGGACAAGCTTGCAAAGTCATCATCTTGGAACTGTTGCGAGACGAGCCAAGGAATCATGTCACCGGCAGGACGCTGACCGCGCGAAAGCGAGTTGATGACGGTCTGGCGCGAGATTTCACCTTCCAAACAGACTTGCACGACGACAAGTGGGTCCGGAAGGCTCGTGCTGGCATGAGCCATGGGAGGAAGAAGCACAAACAAATGGTGAGCTGGAGCATCACTCATGAGCTGCAAATCGTTGGGCGAATTCTTGTAATGGCTTGCAACATAGAGTGCCATCATGCGCTGCAGGAATGTTTCGCTGACAGGATGGTAAGAGAAAAGTGTGTCGCGGTTGACATAGTACAGCTCGCATTCGGAAGGATGCGGGCAACCTTGGATGTTCTTGGATATGATTGAAGCATCCAAGCACAACAGCTCGTTCAGCCACTTTTCGACAGGATCGTTGGGTCCGTAACGAATAGGTTCCTCAAGCTTGATTTCCTTGAGTGTGCGACCTCCCAAACCTTCGGTGTCGTCGATTTGCTTCTTGGCAACCATGTCACGACCCACCATCACGTTCTCGCCCGAGGCATCCTTGGCAACGCCACCCGTTTTGCCAACGAAACCGCGCGACTGCTCACGAAGCTGCTGGATCAACTTGAGAGAGAGAGATCGGCCAGTACCTTCGTAACCGTTGATGGTGGATGCCATGAAAACGAGGTAGGGGCCCAAAAGCTTGCGAACGATGGGCAAGGGAATTGCAGCGGCTTCATCGATCACGAGCAATTCGGCTTGACCGAGGACATGAGCGTCTTGAGGCTGAATGTACTGGATCGTCTGACGATGCTGTCTGAAAATGTTGACGCGGACAATAGCCTTGTTAAACTCAGGGTTGGTGGATTGAACGATATCGTAATCGAGATGTTCTTCATAACCGAGTGCGTCGAATGTCTTGAAGACAAACTCAAAGAGCGTCTTTAGATTCTCGGGGCTCGGCGAGGTGACAAAAATGTTGGAATAGCCATAAGCAACGGCGGATGCCATGGCAATACCGAGAGCGGCGGATTTACCACGACCACGCGCTGCTGTCAAGGCAACCGTACTGCGGAGCGACTTTTCAGAAATGGCTTCGATGAATGTGAGGACAGCCTTGGCCTGATCCACCGTACGTGCACATTTGACCAGCGATCCCACTGGCTCGGTGTCCGCAAGCGACTCCTTCAACTCGTCCAATTCCATTTCCTCTTCTGTCTTTTGTTCCTCGGCGCTCTTAACTGGCAGAGGCTTGACGTGTTTGCCCATGCTGATGGGAAGTACGTTCAATTCGTCGTCGACAACAAGGCAGTTCTCGCTGGAACCCAATGACAAGATGAATCGTTCGTTAAAACGAGCAACGATATCGTTATGAGCTTCCGTTCTGTATCGGTAATGGACATCCTAACATTGAATTTTTTTCGCATAGATCAATGGTAAATTCACTGTTTTTTCTTCCTATATCCATATGGATGCACTACCCATTTTCCATTGGTTTTTAACGTACCATAGCCATTGTGTACAGCTGCTTGAGCGAGCTCATGTTCTTGAGCAAGAGAACAACCATACCGCCGCCTTCAACAGTCTCAATGGTTCGGGCGAGGGTATTGGGCGTGATAGCTTCAAAGTCCTGGAGAATACACATGCCATAGGTGTTACCGAGAATCTTTTGTGTCTCCTTATAGTAGGCATATCGAATATTGGTAACCGTAACAAACAGTTCAAAAGGATCCTCAGTGTTGGCTTCCCGAGTTCCTCGCTTGATCTCCCTTTTGATCTTTGCCTCACGTTTCTTGCGATGACTACACCATGTATGCGAATTAGCTTTTACATATTTTTTTTTTCTAATTACAAGTAGCTGAGTCAATCTTTACCTAGTGAAACCAAGGTCTTTCTTGTAGCACCAGAGTACAGATGGTCGTGAGGTAACTTGAGCTTGAGCCAGCAAATAATGCAGATTGACAACCTAAGAAGAGAATAAAAAACAAAAATTCAAATGGTGTTAGATCAGGGCAACATTAGAGTTTCGATCTGTTCATTGTCGTTTCCGCTTTGCAAGTTTACCTGTTCTTTTCCCTTATCGCCTACAACTACAAAGAATGAGCGATGCTTGGTTTGCACACAGTTCTTAATGAGTGTAGCCACTCGAGAATCGACCACCTTTCTGACCATTGGTTGATTAAGCAAAAGCTGGGGAAAAGGTCAGGACGAAAGTTCAAAAAAAAAATATGCTTGACAGGCTCCCCTCTCCGAAAAAAAAAATGTGGCAAAGCCGGTTTCCTTTTTTGGATGTAGAGCAATGCGAATTAAGAAGTTTGCTCCACTTAAAAAAAATTTGCTTTGGAAAAAAAAAAAACGTCTGCTTTATTTTTCACTTTTGTTCCACTCAAAATGAATACCACTGCTACTACTTCAAACTTTGCTCCCCCTGCCGATGGTTCCGCCGCCCTCTCCCAACGCAAGAAAAAAGGCAAAGTTTAGGCCGATCCTGCAAGTGGCGAAAACGACGAACAGAAGGTACCACAGCTTTACACATCTTATATCTACGCTCAAAGCAATTTCAAAGATAAAGTAGTAACCAAAGTTTAGTTTATAGTTCGAACGAGCCTAAGTATGTCGATTTCCGCCCTGCTAATAGTGGCAAAAAGCAAGTCAAGGACAACAAGAGAAAACGCGCTTCGGACGACATTGGTGAAGACGAAACGATCGAAAATCAAGCGTTGGAAACGATGCGAATCCAGCTAGAGATCGATCGTGAGCGTGTTCTTGTTGCAAAAATGAACGCATACAGCGACAAGTTGATGGCTGAGCATGCGATCATGAGTGTGGATGCCTCGGATTTTCCCCCGTTGCGCAAATACTTTTATGAGACCATGCAAGACAAGATCGTTGCGGATCTGAAGGAGGAGCTGGAGAAGCAGTAGCAAATGGCGGAAGACGATGTGGAAGAAGGCGAAGAAGATGGGTGCGAGGAAGAGGAGCAACAGCAATAAACATTGTTTCTATATCATCATAGCGGAATCACAGGTACGTTCTTAATGCATGATTTTATTCGTCACCATGACGCTCCCAGATATGCTCGACAAGATCGAGTAGTAGTCTCGTATGGGCGGCCTTGTCATGGACTTCCCGTTGACGTTGGTGATGGGGAAGTTCTTCCGGTTGTCCACCACGTTGAATGGATGGCGCAACAAAGAAAGAACAGCTGTCGTAATCCAACTCACACTGCCTTTCGTACCCATCCCGCTCGTGCTCAACGATCATGTTATGCATGATAATGCACGCCTTCGTGATGTTTGCGAGGTGTGATACGTGCCACGAATGTCCAGGCTCCCGGACTATTGCAAAACGCTGTTGCAACACTCCAAAAGCGCGCTCAATGTCCTTGCGGACAGATTCTTGTCGCCGGGCGAACAACTAGATCAACAAGGTAATGAGTTAAATTAGGTAGAAATATTTATATAATAAACAAGCATGTACCTTTTTTTTGTTGCCCACGGGATGCCGGATGGTTTTGACCAATGTGGCCCACGGTGGGTAAATCCCATCTGTCAAGTAATACCCCTTGTTATAATACTTGTGGTTGACAGCTGGGGAGCGACCGCTGATGACATCGTCGACAGGGGGGGACTTGTGCAAGACGTTGAGGTCGTTGCAGGACCCGGGAACACCAAAGAACGAGTGCCAGATCCACGTATCTTGCGAAGCGACGGCTTCCAGGATGACCGTCGGGCTACCTTCCCTTGCCAGACGTGTACATGCCGGCCCAACCCGTGGGGCAGTTCTTCCACTTCCAATGCATGCAGTCGAGGGAGCCAAGCATGCCCGGGAGCCCTCGCGCCTCTCCAAGGGCCAACAAACGTTTGAGGTTTTCTTCGTTTGGGGCACGAAGATATTTCCTCCCCAAAGCACTCGATGATACCCTCACAGAATCTCCATCAAGCACTCTCTTGCTGTGGATTCAGCCATCTTAGTGTATTCGTCAACAGCGTCAGCGGATCTGCCATACGCTAGCATGCGCATGGCTGCGGTTCCTTTGAGGTAAGGGTGGAAGCCGACTTTCCCGGTTGCATCCCGTTTTTGTTGGAAGTACGTGTACTTTAGCTTTTGCACGATACGCAAAAGCAGCTCCCGCTGCATGCGGAAGCGACGTTGAAAAAAATGTCGCATCGTATCTTGGGACTTGGTTAAAATAATCCTGCATAACTATCATCTGAAATACAGAGCGTTGGCGATCCATGACCTTGCGTTTTGGTTTTCTGACGCGCAGGGACAGCACAACGTCTTCTATTTCGGGCTTGTTGGAAGATTCGAGAATGGGAGAAATAATATTTTTTATACAGTCCCTGTCTATCCTTTATTTAAACCAACGACGCGTGAAGTTTAACATTGATTTAACAGCAACCGCTGCACGATATGCCCTGTTATGTTAAATTTGACGTTTTCATAACAGCGACCGCTGTGGGTGCTCTTAGTCTACTGGCTCAGCAGCCAACGGACTTTCCAATAAGCTATACCTTCTAAATGACTGCCTCTAAAGTAGACCTTGTTATATCCATGCTTTTCAAAAATACCTGAACTGTCGATAAATGTATGCCGGGCGTGCAGTACAACAGCAAAGTAACCGATCATACGGTACACCGAACAGTCGATTTTTGAACAACAAGCAATTGATGACAAAATAAGAGTGATGATGACCAATACTAAAGAAGAATGGCGACGCTCAGAAGAATCATGCACACTCAACCCTCTCTTACTCCGATGATCGTCACAACAAACAAAAACACGGTATTTGCAAAATGAATCATCAAACTAAATGGAGTTGTAAAAAAAGATACAGCAGTTGTAAATAGTACATCCGTTCAAGGACAGCACATCGATGGTGTCGACATATTGGTTTTAAAAGTAAGTCGAACAACATATCTATGATACGTCGGGCCACACGGTCCCTCAAAGTGGGTGCTTCTCTGAAGTATGACGCAAGGCTTTCCTATACATTGACTAACAATTTAGGACTGGTGTGTCAATACCGTCCATTCGGGTAGTACATTATTGCTTGTTTTGTAAAAAGAAGAAAAAGATAAAACTTAAACTGAAAAGAACTACTTTTTCCGGATTATCACAAGATGTACAAGAAAGCATGTGTGGCCATGTGCACAAAATAACACAGTAAAAGGATAATTCTACTGCTTTATTATTTTACAAAGATCAGCGAGCTCAGTAAACGCAAAGGGCGAGGTTGAGTGCTATATTATTGGCAAAATTAGAAGGTTTTTTTTGTTGCTGCTGTTCTGGTCAATAAACGAGGAAAGAATATGTAAGAGCCTTTTGTATGACGAATGGTGGTCGTGGAATCCTCTTTTCATACTGTTTTATATGTATTTGGTACGGGTGTACAGCGTTGTGGAAGCTTTTCGAAGCACGCCACCACTAAAAATGTATGTAAAAGACCAATAATGTTACGATTTACAACTGTTGTATGTTTAAGTAGTAACTGCTCTTTACAGTTTCTGTTCTGGTGCTCTTCTTGATCTTCTTTTCTTCAAAGCATCAAACAAAGAAGAAACAGTATTCCAGAGCACTGAGCTTCGCATGGTTTGACCCCCTCTGTCCCACATATGATTAGTGATAGGATTAAGAAAACTTGGCATGGTGCCCATATGCATAACAATGCCGAACGTGTCGGTTATTGCTACCACCGGCTCGACGGTATGGAACAACACTCACATCATCAGTACATTACAAGTCTTACTTATCATAGCTATGAGGTGCACACGGACAAAATCAGATATCATACCTGAGCTGGATCACTTCGCTACTTTCCAGTAGTGGTACGAGGACACAACTACACGTCTGATCTTTTGGAGTGGTTGACCGTTCTAGAGGACAAGTCGGCAGATTGGAGAAATACAACAGCCAAAACAGCGTGGGAGAACTTTGCTACTTCGTCTAAGGATGCACAATCTGCCAAAATAAAACGAAGGCGACCGCTGGCTGTCCCAATTCATCATATTCTCAGACCAAGTTTTTATATTCCACAAAGATATATCAGTTCCTTTCATCGACAGGTCCGCGGTACAGTATTCTATCCTATCATACCTATAAAAATATACATTTTAAACAACAATGTATGTACTCAACTGCTGTTCGCTGCTACTAACTACTGTACTCTATACAGAGCTATTCCAAAACACTAATGTATTGCAAATGCTGAAGCAGATCACACCACGCCATGGCTTTTGCCTTGCCTTGCATCTATACCTCAGCGAATCATCAGGGCTTCCGCATTGTTTATATAATTTATTTTTAGTACAAGTCTGCATAATAGCATGGGGACGTGTTACCTGATATGTTTGATATAAGTGAGAAAGGTACTTTGATGCGCATCATAATACACACGGAAATCGACCAATACTTCTCTCTGTATGTTGTACGACAGCGGACCGCCGCTTATAGCAAGTGTGTGGTTCCCCATTCAGTAGTACCACAGCCCCGATAATGTGCGCGTGATTGCTGGAATAAGGTCAAATTTCCCAAATACGCCATTCGCTCGTATTCTCCTTTATTGGCTTATAGATGGTAGATCACAAAGTGTATACAAGATAACACCCGCGATAAAAAAACATGCTGCTACTACAGTTTTATAACTTAACTTTTTTTCCCTGTTGCGTAAAACTACATGACTTTTATTGCGACTAATGATAGCGACAACAACAGCCGATCAAAAAAGAGGACGACATGAAGAAAATTCGGTGCAGGCTGCATATTGGTAGTGCTTAAAATAGTGGGGGTGGTGAGAAGCATGTGGCTATTGAGCTAGGCTCGTTCACACACTTGCTTAGCAAAGCAGGTTCCTCATTAGAGGGCGACAGTAAACTACCGAATTCATGAAAATCGAGTCCTGGCTTCTGCTAACCACTGCTACTGCTACGTGCTTTATCAACCTAATGCTGCTCCCTTGGAACTTTCACCAGGAAGACAGCAGTTTTTTGTTGCTTATCATTAACTGATAGCAAGATTGTGAACGGGTACACAAACGCACTGGAATAAGACAATTTAGCGCGGACTGGATCTTTTTCTTGTGGTGGTCATCTTGTGGCAAGGATTGTACTACACATGGAGTGCCCTATGGCCGTCCTGTTGTATTTAGACCACTTTAGTAATAGGGCATGCGATCCAACTTTTACAAGTGACAGGAACAGATTGCCTCACACAGGCACACCCACACTGTTTCGTATATACATGATAAGCAATCAGAAACACCTGCTTTTTACTAGATCAAAAGGGAAAATAATCTCACGGCTCTCTTTTCTTCTCTTCTTCCTCTCTCTTCTTTACACTTTTCTTTGACAAACACTGCCCTTCACACTTTTTTTTTGCCTCTATTTTCTAGCCCTTTTGTATCTACGTCATGGCAGAAAACAAGTCGTTCGACGCTAACTACGTCGAAGAAGCTGGTGGCAAGCGTAGTGGCGGCATGGGCTTCTTAGAACAATTCCAATTGCGTTATGCTAAAGTTGATCCAGCAAGCTACTTGCGTCGTCCTGATGAAACCGGAGTTCAGTACTGGGGTCGCCGCCTTGGCACTTTGAAACCTGTCGAGCTTTTGCATGCTGAATACGGTAATACTGAGCTGCGACAATACTTGAATTGGTGGCAACTCGTTTTCATTGGTATTGGTGCCATTATCGGAACAGGTAAAGCTCTTGTTATACTTGGAGAGGGGGCTTAGGTTATGGAACAGTTATATACACCACATATTACACCCACAAGACGGTGTGATCCCCAAAAAACAAAGATTACAAACAAACAGAAACAAGCAAAAATGCATGTGTGCGTGAATAAGAAGGCAGTCCTTTTCTTCTTAATTAATCAAAGATGGCCTTTACTCTATGACAATGTTTGTAAGGTATCTTTGTCCTTTCTGGCCAAGCTGCTGCTCAAAATGCGGGTCCGGCTGTTACTGTTTCTTTCATCGTCGCCGCTTTTGCATCATGTAAAGTTTCGTTATGGCATCACATACATACTTTCCATACGGAACCCAACCAGCACATTACTAACAAAGTCAACGCCGACGATGACGAACGGCGACAATTCAATGATAATATACACAGGTTTCGCCGCAATGAGTTACTCTGAGCTGGCCTCTATGATTCCAGTGTCTGGTTCGGCTTATACTTACGCATACGCAACCATGGGCGAGGTATATTTTATGTTCTAAACTAAGCTTCTATCAGGTTGCTCCTACACTAATCGACTAAACGTAACTTTTTTCTACCTTATCAGTTTGTAGCCTGGATTCTTGGCTGGGACTTGATCTTGGAATACATGGTCGGAGCTGCCACTGGTAACTTTTTTTTTTCACTCGAACCTAATAATAATCTTTTCGCATTAATGCAGATTGTTTAAAACAGTTGGTGTTGGCTGGTCCGGTTATTTTAAGAAATTCTTTGGATTGTTCGGCATTGTCTTTGCTGACAGCTGGACTGAACCAACCGTCATTTGGGATGAAAACCCTGCTCGAATTTATTATGAAGAGGGCCACGCTTTCAATGTTCCTGGCTTTGTTGTTATCATGCTCATCACAATTGTCCTTTGCGTTGGGTAATGTGTTTCGTATTTTGGTCAATACTCTTGCAGGGCATATCATTATCTGCTGTAAGCACACTCTAATATACTTGTTCTTCATTCTAGTATCCGACAATCCTCTTGGGTCAATTCCGTCATTGTCATCATCAAGCTTATTGTTGTCGTCCTGTTCATCTTTGCCATGTGCGGCTTTGTTGACCGATCCAATTATGATCCCTATGTACCGCCCAACACATCTGGCGACTGGCATTACTTTGGTGCTCCGGGTATCTTTGCGGCAGCATCAACTGTATTCTTTGCCTACATTGGTTTTGACTCTGTTACCACCGCCGCCATGGAAGCCAAGAATCCCAAGCGAGATTTGCCCATCGGTATCATTGGCTCGCTTGTTGTAACCACTGTCCTTTACATCGCTTTTTGTACTGTCATGACTGGTGCCGCTCCTTACACTGAGCTCAACACTGCCACACCCGTTATTACTGCCATTGAGGCTGTTGAGGCACGTACCGGTCGAAGCTGGCTTTGGCTCAAGATTATAACTATCATTGGTGCCTTGGCAGGTCTGAGCTCTGTCATTTTGATCATGTTGCTCGGTCAAACGCGTGTCTTTTACTCGATGGCAAAAGACGGACTGTTCCCTCAAGTATTTGCCAAAGTACATCCTCGCTTCAAGACTCCCTATATTGCCACTATTACTGTCGGTTCCATTACAGCTCTCTTGTCAGCTGTTCTTCCTGTCGATTTGCTCGGTAACATGACCTCGGTCGGTACTCTCTTGGCTTTCTTTATTGTTCACGCTGGTGTAATTGTCCTCCGTTTCACTCGTCCCGATGTGGAGCGTTGGTTCAAGATCCCCGGTGGCAAATACTTCTTTATCGTATTTCCAATTCTTGGTATGGTCATTTGCGTCCTCTTGATTGCTGTAGCTGAAGTTACTACCATTTGGCGTCTGTTTGTTTGGATGGGTGTTGGATGGGTCATTTACTTTGCATATGGTGTTCGCCATGCCAAATTGCATCGTGATCCGATCGGTCGCTTTGCTGAAGTACATGCTCATGCTGATACGTCCAAGGAAGAAGTTTATCCAGTTCAAGATTACGACTATCAGCACGACCGCAGCTAGAGATATATACCTCTCGACTCACACCACTTTTAAAACCAACAATCTCCTTATAATACTGTAAGAATCATCTCCGTTGTTGCTACTCCTCTTCAATTATAGATCAGTTTATTCCCCTATATATACTGACTCTTCTTTCATTCTTTACTATTACTTTTATCAACAACGACTATCTCTACTATCTCTCCATGTCTAGCAAACAAAAACATGTAACGTCTAATATGTACTATCATCTATTCTTATATGTACCAAAATATATATTATTTACAAGGTGTCATTCCTATTAATCTAGTGATCTTGAGAATAAGGTAATGTCTGATTCAGACGTACATTTATTGAATAGGATACATTTGCTGTTAATTATCATGGCAATGGCTCGACTTGTGCCTTATACAATATCCGACATAGTTTGTATGTGTCATGGCATGTCATTTGACTTTGGCAGCAATAATTGTTCTATTCCATCAAGAAGAGACATGAGTGGGTTATTACCCCAACTCGTACCTGAGCTACTTCTTATAAACCTTACATATATAGAAGCTGAAAAGTAACTTATGTATACATTGAAAAAAATAACAAAAAAATTGATCCACTTCTTCGCGTTTGACCAGTTCTGTAATATTGGGGGTAATTTCAATTATATATAATGTGAGTACAGCATCCCCATGTAATTGGATCGACAGAAAAAGATGTGGTATTACGACGTACCTTTGGGTTGGCTGGATCAGTATTCAATTCGTCGATTCGCGTACTACTGCTGCAGTTTGACTGTTCTTCCACATTTTTTCCTTCTTCTAACTGTGGATCCTCTGGATTATCTTGATTAAACGATCCCATCTGTTGAAATTGATTGTCGGAACTTGTAGAGAAAAAGAAAATAAAAGCTATGAAGTTTATAGCTTTTTATATCTAATTGAAAAGTCACTTCTCCGGAGAGTCGCGTTTGACAGCTATAATGATTGTGTAACCTGGAAAAAAGCTGCAAGTTCAGTCTTTGCCATGAATTCTCCGAAAGGTAAGAAACGAGCCTGAACTTTGCCGCAATTGATGATATTTCTCGTTAGCTAAGGTAGATTCACTGTACTTCAAAAATGCTCTATAGTACATTAATAAGGATGAGGCCAGCTTCTTTAGTACTAGTAAATATTATAAAAATAAAGACACCATGAGTTAGTACAATACATAGTTCAGAAGCTGCTACAAGCTTTATTGATGCTTTCTACAGTAACGGTCGTCACGGGTTGCAAATGATCAATATACGGCTGAACAAGATTGTGAGACCTATTGCTAATATACTTTAAATGTAGCTATAGGGGGCGTCACTCAGTTTTCCGATATAGATAAATCATACCAACTTTTACTGGGGTTCTTGCCGCCCCTCTTCCTTGTATAAACACTAGCCTTAAGTATAACACTGCACTCTCACTCGTTGCTATGGAAGCGAAGATTGGCATATTGTTGCGTCAGCAACGTAACATCTCCATTTCCATCCATATGAAGGTATAGAGATTCCAACGTTTCACTACAGCTGCGAAACAGAGGCATGATATGTCTGGCACGGACATATGGAGCGTAGTACTGAATGTGCTCGTCCTAATATTACAGTGATCCAATCGCTTACTATGTTTCAACTCAAATTTCTTTTAGGGATATCGACAAAAAGCGGCATCGGCGTTTTCAGTGTTTTCCCGCGATATCCCATAGATTGAGCATTGTCAATCTACAGCTACTAACAAGTCAAGCTCCGGTACACGTATATTATATCTCTTCATTACGGATTGATTAGATATAAAAAAAACTTTTGCTCCTCTCTACCGCGTTTTAGATATACGTGTAGCTTGTATGATGTGAAATCCATACTTCTGTCAGTCTACCTTCAGTGCTAGGTCGATAGTAGTCGTTGATTACCCACTACCTCATAAAAGGTACAGCAACACTACCGCACCGCTGCTAATTGAAAAGCATAATATGATGGTAGAACAGTAAACTCAAGAAGGAATTTTTCCACAACTGATATATTTAAAAGAGATGTACATTTAATGGGAAACAAAAGTTTTATAAAACAGTAAAATTCTACATTTACAACAGATTCTTTGACTTCACAGTACTCGTTTAGTTCTTCTCCAACATGCTGTGACCAGTCATTTCTTCGGGAATATCCAAGCCCATGACATCGAGGATGGTGGGGGCAACATCAGCCAAGGCACCCTTGACATCCTTCTGATACTTGTACTTTTCAGAGGTCATGACGAAAGGAACAGGTGCGCAAGTGTGAGCAGTGTGAGGGGTCGAGAAATCGTCCGAAAGCATCTTTTCGGCGTTACCGTGGTCGGCCGTGACAAACAAGATGTAGCCGTTGGCTTTGCATGCCTCGTAAATAGTACCGATACCCTTATCCGTAGCCTCTACACCCTTAATAGCAGCCTCGTACTTGCCAGTGTGGCCGACCATGTCGGGAGGAGCAAAGTTGCACATGACGAAGGGATATTTGCCGCTAGCGATTTCTTCGGCGACGCGATCAGCGACGCTCTGTGCGCTCATCTCGGGCTGCAAGTCATAAGTGGCGACCTTGGGCGAAGCAACCAAACCACGCTCTTCCTTGTTGAACTGGGTCTCGACACCGCCGTTGAAGAAGAAGGTGACGTGAGCATACTTTTCGGTTTCGGCAACGTGCATCTGGGGAACCTCGTTCTTGCCCAACCATTCGGCCAAGACGTTGTCCATGGTCTGTGCGGGGAAAGCAACCTTGAAGGGATAATCGCCCTTGTATTGGGTCATGGTGAACAGCTCAATGTTCTCGGGAACCTTGCTCTCAAAGGGGCAAGGAGCAATGCCGAATGCCTGGGTGAGCTCACGCATACGGTCAGATCGGAAGTTGAAGAAGAACAGAGTATCGTTGTCCTTGACGCGGCCTTCGTCAGACAAGATGATGGGCTTCAAGAACTCGTCTGTCTCATCGGCTGCGTAGCGCTCCTCAACCGTCTTCATGGCATCCTCTGACTTTTCACCCTTGCCCTCAGTCAATGCGTCGAATGCGATCTGAACACGTTCCCAGCGCTTATCACGGTCCATGGCATAGTAACGACCCACAATGGTGGCGAGCTTGCCATACGACAAACGTTCCAAGTTCTCCTGAAGCGTCTTCAAGTACTTGGTGGCCGACTTTGGAGAGGTGTCACGACCATCGCCGAAGAAGTGGATGTAGACTTCGGGAACTTCTGCAGCCTTGGCGGCTTCCAAGAGCGAAACCAAGTGGTTGATATGCGAGTGGACACCACCATCGGAAATCAGACCCAAAAAGTGCAAGCGACCGTTACCAGCCTTGGCACGTTCAAAAGCGCCCTTGATGTTTCCGACCTCACCAAACTTGTTGTCTCTAACAGCAAGATCGATACGCACAATGTCCTAATCAGTAGCGGGGATCAGTATCTATTCTTTTTTTTGCGTGTAGATTCTTGTATTTGGACCATCTGATTTCACATTGGGGGAATCATCTTAGCCAGTCACTTTTTTCCCGTTCGTCGGACCATCTCGCTTCTCTCCCGGTCCGCACGAGCGCAATAAAAAAGAGAAAGGTGGCCTACAACCCACACAGCCCAAAAGTAACCGTGTTCTACACTATACCTGGTAGACGACACGGCCAGCACCAATGTTCAAGTGGCCAACTTCAGAGTTGCCTGTGTTTTCTTTACCATTAGCATATTGCCCTTCTGCTACGCCTAACTACCACTCACTGTATATAGCACCCCCCCCCTAAGCTGTCTCACAAGAACTTACCCATAAGACCATCGGGAAGACCGACAGACAAACCATGAGCGGCAATGTCAGAATAGGGGTAAGTTTCCTTGAACTTGTCCATGACGGGCGTCTCAGCATTGCGGATCGCGTCGCCCTTGGGATCTTGGACTGGCGAAACACCCCAACCGTCGATACAGATAAGACACACCTTTTCCTTGGGTGTCTGCTTTTCCTTTGGCATTTGTCCTCCTCCGGGCATGGTGTATATGCGGTATATGTATAAGAGTGGTGTAAGAAAAGGGTTAAAGAAAGAAAGAGAAGGAATCAAAGATATAAAGCGGCAAACCTGGCGTTTCGAAGCTTCGTGTGTGACATTCATCGGACTTTTGCGTCTATCCTCACTTGTCCGTCCCCAGCATGACGTAGCTTCAATCTCCCAACAAATTTACACAATTGATGCGCATACATGCGCCCACCGGTACAACTGGTCCTGAAACGATAAACAGAGACACTAATGCCTGCTACTACATAGCTAAGCTACATGTTATGCAAACAAATTATATCACTACGAGTAATGGCTGAGAGCTCATTATTTAGCCACACCGCGCGTATATATCTTGCTACGTACAATTTCTCGGCAATGCCTATACAAGCAACACATATCCTGACTGTGGTATTTACCACGACAGATTGTGCCATGTACAAATTATCTTCAATTCAATGGCCGTATCATGCACGAAAACAGGCCTTAGGATCGTACGACAGTCAAAATAGCATTTCCCGGGTCCGTCGCCCGTCCCTTTCTCGATACTTTGGTACTCGAGCATTAACGAAAAGTGGTGTCTAATACTATGCAAAAAGTTGAGAGGATATGCTGTAAACATGGAAACTATTAAAGTAGACGGTGGAATTGTAGTCTTTAGCCTATGTATGTGACAGCTGTCAAGGTCAAGGAAATCGTCGGCTTTGCATTTTCACATGCATCATCGGATCGATATGGAGAAGCGGCGTGTATCTTGGATATTAGCGATGACAGAAAAATAGCGTATTCAGTCATTGTTATGTTTTGAAATATCCTAACAAAATAGTGTCCATCATAATATAAAGTGTATCGGGACTGTTTGATCATCACCTCCAACCCCACTCAGACACAGAGGTTCTCATTATCGGTTCCTTACAGGGAGACGTGGGACTTTGCATCCTCATCTTTGAACGCTACGCGCTTTAAACACTACTATTAAAAGATAGAGTACAATATATAGAGAACAAGGCAAAGGATAAGAGTAGAAAGGGATATTGCTAAATTTAACAGTCAGGACAAGAGGCAAAGTCGCAACTACATGGGCTCTTACGTTCAAAGCAGCACTCACACTTTTTCGTTCTTTTTGCTGCACACGCGTGAGCACAAATATCACTTTTTTCTCCTAAAAAATATGTATACTTTGCAATATACAAAATGCATAATTCGTAAAATGCCCAGCAACAAGCACGGTATCAACAGCAGCGCACAGTATACGAATGGCGATAAATCCGGAAATGGATTACAATAAAAACCTGGATCCCAACAAAGATATTGAGGTGTGCGTGTGTGCAAATCAAATAGCGACATCCAAATGGGCGACAAGCGTGCATGGACGTTCGAAGAAGCTGTTGTATCTGAGCGAAATGCTGTTCGTTGGTGGTAACGTCCATGTATGGTCAGATACAATTAGCTCAAACGAATTATGGCGGCCCTGGCGACAACGATATTTAACTACGCTACATCCAAAACCTATGCATTATCACGCCCACGAAAATCCCTTTTGCCTATGAAGTGTACAACCACAGCACGCAGAACTTTCTATTGTGAGTTTTAGCGCACCACCAGTCTATCACGCATTCTTGTATCCCTTTAACATTATCCATTCATGTAAGCTATACTCCATGAGGAATAAAGTTACCCTGTCCCAAGTTACTGCAGAACCGGTTCCCACGCCACACCCAACAAACAAGTCAACTTGGCACATCAACCTTAATAGTGCTCTATAGGCAACAACAGAAATTGTTTTTATTATTTCTTTTTCCCCTTTTCTTTTACTGACGAGCAGCAATTTCCTTGGCGGCAATAGCCTCGCGCTTGGCAAGACGAGCGTTGGACTTGGGACCGTTGATACCACCACCCCATTGGCGACGGATCTCATCAGTCTTGTCGTTGAAGTTAACCTTGACGGCGGAGACCAAGTTAGCGAGCTCAGCCTTGTCAGCCTCAGCGACCTCAGTGAAAGCCAAAGCGGTGGCGTTCTTCTTGTGGACGACCTGACCGAGACGAGCCTTGCCCTTGACGATGCAGTATGGGACACCCATCTTGCGGCAGAGAGCGGGCAAGAAAAGGACCAACTCAATGGGGTCGACATCGTCAGCAATGACGACCAACTGAGCCTTCTTTTGTTCAATCAAGGCGGTAATGTGGTTCAAACCGTACTTGACGACGACGGGCTTGTCAGTCTTGATGGCTTCCTTACCCTCAGCCTTGGCAGCGGCAGCAGCACGGATACGTTCGCGCTTCTCAACCTTGGTCTCGGGACGGTACTTGTCGGCCAACTTGAAAAGCTGGGTGGCAGTGTTCTTGTCCAAAGTCTTGGTGAACTGGTTGAGAGCCGGGGGGACCTTCAAACGCTGGTAGATGATCTTCTTTTGGCGCTGAAGACGGACGTAGGCGGGCCACTTGACGAAGCGCGAGACATCGCGCTTGGGCTGGACATCTTGACCAATGCCAAAGTTCTTGGCGCGCTTCTCGAACAAGGGGTTGGCAGGAGCCTTGGAGCCCTGCTTGGCCTTGATGGGGTAGGGTGCGGGAGCGACCTTTTTGCCAGTGGACTTCTTTGCAGGAGCCTAAATCATGGTCAATTTAAAAATTGTTGCCATTGTCAGCTTTTTCATCGATCTCGAAATCGTTGCACATTGGGTATATGTGGCCGAGTGGCGCGTCCTCCTCCCCCCAAAGTGAATTCATGTGATCCATCCATCTATCTGATGCATCCGCTTCCGAAATGTGTTCATCCATCCGTATTCTCGTCCATTCTCGCTTCGCTTTTCATTTGTTTTGGGGTGCTCTCTCTATATCTTTTTTTTCTTCTCTTCTTTCTGCTTACCATTTCTGTTGGTTTTTAAAAAGAGGGAGTTCGGAGGTTTCGGAACCCAGTACTTCTTTAGGGGAGCACGGAGCGCCCTGGCTTCTTGGAACTTTAATTACCGACATAATTTTTGCAATTGCATTAATTTCAGAAAAGCTTTATTTGCGCAAACATGAATGTCGTAAATATATATAGAGGATGAAGAATGATTGGATTGATAATAGTGGAGGTGAGGAGGGTATGATGATGAGAGATAGAGAGCAATGGCATAGGTTTGTGATGTGATGATCTTGAATGATGAATGGAATTGTATATATGATGATGATGATGATGATTAAAAAAGAAGTTCTTTCCTGCGTTGTGTATCGTAAAAAGAAAAATTTAGCCCGGTTTTTTTTCCATATAGAAAAAACCCATATACAGTGTGTTTGTGTGTATCATGTCTTTAGAAGATTTTGAGGAGAAGGTATGTGTGTGTGGTACGCGTATATAAACATTGATGGGTAGAGAATAAGGTTTCTTCATTGCATCAGAGCGAAATTTTCACCAGGTATGAAATCGGCCCAGGCATAATTGTCGAGCGGCAATGCGTCAAAATAGGTTGCCAAAAACTGTGTCTGGTCGTTCTGATTGTTTTTGTTATTGTTATTGTTATTGTTGTTGTTGTTGTTGTCGTGTGCGATGGATGTATTGTCACACGACAAGGTGGGCGAATGGGAAGGTGAAAAGCATGAGTTTGTGGGTGATGAGAGAGAGTCAGAGGACGATGATAACGTTTCAATAGTCGGAAACGCAAAGTCTTGTTGTTGCTGATGCTGATGGAGTGGCTCTAGGTAGTGGTGGCTGTTGTTTATCATGGGCACAGCTGTTGCAAGCCAGTCATGATTATTGATCCAATCGTTTCCGTTGTTGTTGTTGTTGCTGGTGGGGCTATCAAACAATCCGGTCAAACCAAGCAGGTCGTTGATGTCGAGTTCGTTCATGGGGTCTTTGGTGGTACTCGTTACCGTCGGTGTAGTAGTAGTTTTAGTAAGAGTTGTTGGCTTATTGGCTGAGGTGCCATCCTCGCTCTTGTTGCTAATCTCGTCAGTCGAACGTTTCCGCTTTTTGCTGACCACAGGCGGTTGGGTGAACTGTTCGTCTTCGTTCTCCAGCGAAACATGACACTCGCTCTTGAGATAATGGTCGATCGCTGAATCAAAATCGGATTGCTGCAATCGAGTGCAGTTGGCGTTTTTGAACACGCGAATGCTTTTACCGAGACTGATCGGCGCCTTGTGTGCATTATCTAAATGGATCGACGTGGCGAGACTGAGGCTGAGCAAGTACGTGTTGTAGAGATAACGCTCTTGCTGGTGAAGAATCATCTGTTCCGCAATGTGTACAATCGTGTTTGCAGCTGTGTTACATACACCCAAAGTATCTGGCAGCGCACGGTGCAGCATGATCTGGACAGTGTAATAGAGCATGTGGTACACGCGAATAATGGGCGAGGGCGGACCATGATCTGTTGGCTGATTGTATTCGAGGTACGATGGCAAATTCAAAAACCAGTTCGTCAGTGCAGAAGTCGTCGTCCTTGTCGGGGAACTGTCGCTGTGGAGATGATGGTCGTCTAGAATTCGTGCCAATTTGATCATTTCGGCAAACACAGTTATCTGAAGGGCATATTCGATGGACGAAGTAACAGTGTTGGTCAAGTTCTTGCTATCGATTGCTTGCAGCTGGTTGTCCTCGAGTTGGGGCCATCGGCAGTCCCAGTAGGATTGCTGATGCATCAATGGACCGCCTGTGCAGCATGCAAGCCATTGATTGGTTACATAGGCCACCCAGAAGGCTCGTCTGCGGAGCTCCATGGTAACAATGCCCAGGGAGAGGTCTGGGTCGCGATGCAATTTGAGATCCTTGACCAGTTGAACTTGCTTGTGCAAGTATGTGCGACACGTTTGCATGTCGCCGGACAGATACGCATACCAGCACATGATCACCACAGCCTAATTCAGGGTAAATTGAGTTATTCAGCTTTCAGTAAACAAGAGAAATTGGGTGGTACATTCCCCCCTCCCTCTTCTCTCCTCTTTTACACCACAGCTGCTGTTACCTGTAGTGTGGATAAGGTGCTGTTGTTGTCATGGGACAATGCTGTTGTATTCGAAATCTGCTGTTGACACTGTTTGAAGAACTGGGCACCCGCGTCCTCGTGACTCTGTGTTTCGGCATAGCGGCAACCGAGGGCCAGAACCGCGCAACGTAGCAAGGGATCCATTTCCTGCGGGCGGTGTTGCAGCTGATGCAAAAAGTGTTGCCGCGACAGGATAGGGAAAAACAAATTAAAGTGGGCAAAAAAGGACTCGGCCCACTCCAATTCGTTGTTAAGAGAAAAGTGGGATTGCCTGTTGTGGCTGCCCTAGAGGTAAGATTTCATGGATGGACCTTATCAGTGATAACTCATTCTATAGTGCTTAAGATGGTCTTCTAGTGAACACGTACAGGGGCACTCGTACTATTGCTATTGTTGGCATCCGCGTGTAACGCTACTGTATTGGACACAAGGTTCAGCAGAGCATTTGGACCAGCTGACAAGCAGTGATCGTCACGGGCATCAGAGGTAGTCGTAGTAGTAGTAGCAGGTTGTTGAGTACTATTACTATTGACACTCGTCGACATCGTGGTCGTAGTAATAGTAGTGGTAGTAGTGGGAAGTGCTGCTGTGGTAGTAGTCGCTGTAGTAGCCGTATTTACTTTATCAGTTATAGGCTGCTGCATCCTCAGCTGCGGATGCCATACTATAAAGCATGTGTAAGTCCAACACATTGGCATTTCGTTCTTGTTGCTGTTTGCATGATGAGCTTACCCAGAAGCGATTCGATACGATGCGCACGGTTCTCAATGACCTCGATATATCCTTTGGGAGGGCCACGTTTTCTAGGCGGGTCAGAGTACTCGCAAGTAAGACCCATCGAATTGCAGCGAGAGCATGACGGCTGGATGCCATCGCACTTGACTTTCTTCTTCCGACAAACGATACATGCAAGCGTAACCTTCACACGTTTGGGAGTTGAACCTGGGGGCTGGGCGGCTGATTGCTGGAAGGCGTTCGAAGTGGTCTTCTTGGACATAGTGTCAATGACATAAAGTTAAGTGTTACTGTTCCTTGGACAAAGTAGTTGTGTGGGTGTGGTGTGCGGGTGCGTGTGGTCAGAGAGTATGAAAGAGAGAGAGAGAGAGAGAAAAGAGGAAGAAGGGAAGAAAAGCAAAGGGAAAAAGAATTTATCTATTTACAAACTCCAAAGGGACGGTAATCTCGGCCTAAACTAGCATTTTGGGGGGTTTGGATAGATATGAGCAGCTTTTGCTTTTTGCCCGTGTTACAGTACAAGGCACCAATCGGGCGAAATGGGGGGAATCCATATTTAACAACCTCCCCCCGATCATCATCTTCGTCGTCATCATTAACAATACGCACAGCAACAGCATCACTTAGCAACAGCAGCATTGTCGTTGTCAGTTAGTAAGCCACGCGCCTTCTCAGATATATACCATCAACCTATCGTCTATTTCCCAATCTCCTCAATAAGATCAAGAGAACAACAATAAACGAAGCCAAGAGATCGCATGGACCTATCAAACGCAGAAGCTGTTCCGAGGAAGCGATAGTATTCGGATTTAAAATAGCATGTAAAACGCAAGCTAGGGGTAGAGATATCTTTTTCCTTCATGATATAATTTTATTGTACTCTCTATGCTGTTAATAAAATTATAAGTCTTTTTTCCTACTATCACGCAGGGGGGGAGGGGGAGGAAAGGTCTAGCTCCTCAAAAGCACGCTAAATCCCATCCGCATCCATCCCTAAATAAAACAGCACAAGTCGGCAATCTGCCGCCGATGTCACCACCACACCCGTCGTCGTTCGATCAAAAGAAGAAACAACTGATGGTGCTACGTCGATAGATCCACAAGCTGCACGCGATATGCCTTTCGCACAGAATTGAAGCACACGATTGGATACCCGCTCTACAGAAGTGACCAAAAAATTACCTGTTATATGTGTATTTTTGTTGTTGTTGTTGGACGACAAAAGCTGCAAGGTACGCACAGCAGCAGAAAAAAATTGCATGTTTACCTTTTGTGCATTTATCAGGTCATCCACACTGATCACTCCTTCGACGATATTTTCATCTGAAGAAAAGAGCTTGTCTCGGAATACTCCCGGAAGCAAACCTACATCATTCGCATACAAAGAGCACACACAACAGCAACAACAACGACAACAACAGCAGCAACCTTATAAGCTCCTATTATGAATGCGCATATATCCTTCCCCTTCTTCTCTCCTAATCCCCTCCTAATCCCCCCCCAACCTAGCCTCCGTATCTCATGCTCTCTTTCGCTATCTTTTCACTTACCGCATTGTAAACTTGGCGTTATCCATCGATCCCCTTCCGTCTGAATAGCAATGTTTGCAATTGAAGTTTCTGTTATCTGCCGCTGTTTATTCCATAGCACAACGTCAAATGTCTTTTGACCACATCCTGCTCGTGTGCGTGCATCGTTGTACACATTGCGAAGCGTGGTCTTGTGTACCATGAATGGGTCAGATGCAGAGCACGGAACGGCCTCGGTATCCAGGACAACTGTCAATGCATCTTTTTTTCCTTCTTCTTCTTCTCCTGCTTTTACAGCTTCAGCAAGCGTCTCGTGTGCCTTGTAATCCTTTCCAAGGTCTGTGTACTCGACACGCAGGGCATGTTTGTCGTCGTATAATAAACGGATCTAGAACAATTATTAGAAGATTACCCTCACCCCCTCCTCCCTTTGTTTCTTTTTTTAACCTTTTTCTACAATAGACGATGACTTACCCTTTTATAGGTGGAGTCTTGGGGAACGTTTTCTTCAAGTACCGCTTTGACTTGCTCGTACGATGGTATCGTTGTGAATTGAGCCGCGTCACTGGCATGGAAATCACTCGCAGCTCGTAGTAAGCGATGAATATGCCGATCAAGCAAATAGAACCCTATTTTCTGCATTATTAATTCTCAATGACCTCATAAAAAACCTGCATCAGTTGGTTGTCATTACTTGCCTTGGGAAGGATCATACAAGATTGTCTCTAATAAAGCGAATTCATTTTGGCTCATTATCGTATATGCTCCTGTGGACAAGTTAATAAAAATAACAAGTTGTCGGGTTAAAGTAAACTAAAAGTTTGAAGGGGGGAACTTGTCTTTTAATCCATCTCTTTTTACAGGTTGCAATTTGAAAATTTAAAATGGTATGATTTTCTATAATCCTGAAAAAAGAAGAAGAAAGAGTGGCGCGCGCCTTTTCTATTTCTGAAACCACAGATTCTTCAAGAGTATACACGCCTCATATGATAGTAACATACACGCATAGACTCTGCCCTTCCCCTCCTCCTTCCTTCCTTTTTTGACAACGTAGTACAAACCATCTTTATGGATACACAGGGTCAACGTCGCCTGGCAGCAAAATTAATGTCACGTGTTCCAAATTGACGTCGCTCTGCTTGTGTATTGATGGTGCCTGTTTTTAGAAGCAACTTTATGTCATAAGCCGTTTAATAAAGACTATTGAACAGTATTCTCATTGAGTTTCAACGATTCATTATGAATAAAATAAGGAGATTTCACCTATACCTTGGATTAGGGGTCGCAATTGGATGGATCGGGTCGGGTCAAGAGTCTGACCCGTTAACCCACGGGTCAAAAAACACTATAACCCGACCCGACGTGTTCAACCCGACGAGTCAAAACTCGGGTGGACGGGCCAAGACTGATTCCGATGTGATGATGAAGGAAGTGTCATCCAACCTGAACTTTAATATGCTGGAAGTGCAAAACTCCACATATACAGTACACAGCTCTTAGGATGATGACGCGTAAATTCCCAGCAGCAGTACTAGCAACATCTACTTTGTGTGCGATATTTCAAAATCAAAGAGTCTTGTGCTATCAGAAAGGAATTGCTTAGGCTCACATGCATTAAAGAAAGCGTAATGGAAGTAGTGGCGTTAAAAAAATCGACTTCCCCACACGCCCGTAATCCTTTTCCCTTTTTCCATTTCTTTTCACTTCTTCCTTCTTCCTTCTTTTTTCGCCAATCGTTTTTCTTTTCTCAATTCCTTTTTCGTTTTTTGTCAAGTCTCGTCTCTTACTGCCACCCTCTATTGTCTGCTCTCATTGTACTGTTGCTATTATTTACTTCTTTTACATACATTGCTTATAGCTTACTTATCTTATACTCTTGAGTTTGAGATATAATCCCACAATGAAAAGAATCTAAGTGCATTTTATGTTATAGTTCTTTTGCAGACATATTGACAACGACAACTTTAATATGATGATGCTCTCAACAAGAAGATTGACTACTTAAATACCAGTACCTGATACATATTATATGTATACACGGGTCACAACTGGTCAACGGGTCGGGTCAAGGGTTAAACGGGTTGACCCGCGGGTCAGAAAAGCATTAACCCGTCCTTGACCCGTGGGTCGATTTTGAACCACGGGTCAGATTGCGACTCCTAAATGCGATGGTATCAGTATACTTAATCACTAGTAGTGCTTGGTAATATACAGTGAAGATGGCGGGTTAGACTATACTTGAATACAGTAATTCATTTTGGTTGAGTGTATGTGATGTATCATATAAGAGCAAAAAAGAAAGCAGGATCTTTATTGCTATATTGTCATGGTACTAACCGATTTGGTACTAATCGATTTGAGTAATGAATACATACGTTAACTTCGTCGTTTTGTTGTTGTCTTTTACAAGCTAGAATTCATCTACGGGTATCAACATTTTAAAGAAATAGTACGTCAGCACATCAATGAAGCAGTTAATTGAGTAACAATTACAGTATTCTAGTAGAGAAAGAATTACATAAACTGATTCTTGCAGCGAATTATTCTCATTGGAAAAGCCGCACTTCCTGCAAAAAAAATAACTAAGCTAATCCCGATTTTGCAGCAAGTATAGTAATTCCCTTTTCTCTTTCACGTAATCTCTCTGGCAAAATAATCTTAATAAGTAATTATATACGAGAAAATCATGGACCTTCATTTTCTTTGATTGATCTATATGAAAAACTTGATGTTCACTATGAAAACAAGAAAAAGATTCAGGACGAAATTGCGGATACTATTCAAGACATTGCTGAAAAAACAAACCATGGAATCCATCATCAAACGTAGTACTGGAGCTCTGGGAAATACAATAAAAAAAAAGACAAAAAAAGATTGATGTAGTAAGGAATTAAAACATTGCTCCGCACTGACTGAAAAAAGCATGTAAAAACTAACTGATTGAATAGGAACTAAATGAACTCGATAGCGATGATGATGCCGAAAAATTGCCGGCTGGTACTATTATCAAACGTGCTGCCCTTGACACGTATAGCAAGAGCTTTTTCGACCTGGATCAAGCCGCACAAAATCTCGTATAGTAAGTTGTATTTCTATACTGCTTCCCGACATTTTAACTCTATTTTATAATGTTGTGCTTACACTGCTTTTTTAGCCTTGGGATGAACAGTATATTGGCTTTGTCGAATAGGAACCTTGGTAAAGATAGTTGTTAAAAGTATTTCGAACAGTCATTGGGATGCACTTGTAAAGGAGAATCTTCCAAAAAGCAACTGGATGACCTTAAGAAAAAAACCTTGAATCATATTGGGGAAATAAAAGACGTAAATAAAGTCGAGTAGAGTGTTAGGCGAGATATTTATTCAAAACTATGATGTATATCCAGAAAGCCTTAGTAGATGTTCAAGGTGCACAAAACTTAGCCTTCAAATATGTAACAAGAGCTCATAGACCTTATGAGAAACAAATATTTAAAGTATATGCTCATTTGTAAGTATGAACTGGACAACCTCGTGTGCATGAATTCACTATTACCTAAACACACATCTCACATTACTGTTCTTTTCTCTGCACAGAATTCATTACTCAAATCGATTAGTACCAAATCGATTAGTACCATGACAATATAGCAATAAAGCTCCTGCTTTCTTTTTTGCTCTTATATGATACATCACATACACTCAACCAAAATGAATTACTGTATTCAAGTATAGTCCAACCCGCCATCTTCACTGTATATTACCAAGCACTACTAGTGATTAAGTATACTGATACCATCGCATTTAGGAGTCGCAATCTGACCCGTGGTTCAAAATCGACCCACGGGTCAAGGACGGGTTAATGCTTTTCTGACCCGCGGGTCAACCCGTTTAACCCTTGACCCGACCCGTTGACCAGTTGTGACCCGTGTATACATATAATAGGTATGAGGTACTGGTATTTAAGTAGTCAATCTTCTTGTTGAGAAGCATCATCATATTAAAGTTGTCGTTGTCAATATGTCTGCAATAGAACTATAACATAAAATGCACTTAGATTCTTTTCATTGTGGGATTATATCGTATATTCAAGAGTATAAGATAAGTAAGCTATAAGCAATGTATGTAAAAGAAGTAAAGAATAGCAACAGTACAATGAGAGCAGACAATAGAGGGTGGCAGTAAGAGACGAGACTTGACAAAAAACGAAAAAGGAATTGAGAAAAGAAAAACGATTGGAGAAAAAAGAAGGAAGAAGGAAGAAGTGAAAAGAAATGGAAAAAGGGAAAAGGATTACGGGCGTGTGGGGAAGTCGATTTTTTTAACGCCACTACTTCCATTACGCTTTCTTTAATGCATGTGAGCCTAAGCAATTCCTTTCTGATAGCACAAGACTCTTTGATTTTGAGAATAATCGCACACAAAGTAGATGTTGCTAGCACTGCTGCTGGGAATTTACGCGTCATCATCCTAAGAGCTGTGTACTGTATATGTGGAGTTTTGCACTTCCAGCATACTAAAGTTCAGGTTGGATGACACTTCCTTCATCATCACATCGGAATCAGTCTTGGCCCGTCCACCCGAGTTTTAACTCGTCGGGTTGAACACGTCGGGTCGGGTTATAGTGTTTTTTGACCCGTGGGTTAACGGGTCAGACTCTTGACCCGACCCGATCCGTCCAATTGCGACCCCTAATCCAAGGTATAGGTGAAATCTCTTTATTTTATTCATAATAAATCATTGAAACTTAATGAGAATACTGTTCAATAGTCTTTATTAAACGGCTTATGACATAAAGTTGCTTCTAAAAACAGGCACCATCAATACACAAGCAGAGCGACGTCAATTTGGAACACGTGACGTTAATTTTGCTGCCAGGCGACATTGACCTGCGACATTGGGTGCGACAATACTTTTTGGAAACCCTGAGGTAAAGTGAAAATAATCTTTTTGAAACAAAGAGGTTCCCTTTTTTTACCTTTTTTTTTCTTTTTGGGTGATTCGATGGAATTCTTTTGGGTTCTGCGACGTTGGTTTATTACCTTTTTACTACGGGTAGCATTTAGCTGGGGCAATCGTAACCATTCTGCTCGAATCATTCAATTTCTTGGCTTCCTACTGCCATTTAATCGTCGATGGGTACGCGAAGACACTGACCACGGAACTTGGATCGCCGAAGATATTGCTGGAAGTAAAAAAGAAGCCATTTCTGATCGTCTTGAAGAAAGCAATGTGGTAATCATGTGGGTTTCAGGTAAAGACTTTTACACACAACTCGCGAAAACATTTGGCAATATATGATGAAATAAAATGTGTGTTAAATAGTGTGTGGTATACATGATTGTTAGGTGGAGGTTTTCGATTTGATATGACGCTATTGTACATCCGCGTATGGATTACCTGGATCCGTGCGCTGGAAGCAGACAAGAATATGAGATGCGTTATTTTCGTACCCAAATACAGTAAGCTATTCATAATTCAGGGCCGTGTAAAAAAAGCAATGTAGACGGGATTAGCTGATTTACACCGTGTGTTTTAGAAACGGGACATCCATTTCCTGCAGCAGTAAATGGTGTAAAAGCAGCTTATGACTGGCTCGTTAATACCATGCATATACCTACATCGAAACTTATCATTGGCAAGTATTAATGCTGTGATTTTCTTTTATTCTTTTGTATTCTCAAAATGGGTTAGACAATGTGGGATTGCCGAAACAATTTTAACGTTGGTGTGTGTGTTTAGGTGGCGATGATGCAGGTGCTGCCGTTGCGCTCGACTTGATGCATTTGCACAAACCTAAATTTGCAGGTGCGATCTTTGCATCGCCTTATACCGGATTGGAAGCTGGAGGCGAGTCATGGCGCGCCAACATGGACATTGATTTCATGACTGCCGCGGCTGTGGATCGTATGGAAGAAAGTTATATCCCTGAGGAAGGAGACCAACCATTCCGCTATTTGCCTGATCAAGTCGATTTGGCAACTAGTTTACCACGGCACATGTTAATCACTGTAGGCGGGAATGAGGTATTACTCGACGAAGCAGGCTATCTGGCATCGCGTGCACGTGCTGGCGGCGTTGCTGTCACGTTGTGCCAGGCTCCAGATCAGACACATCTTTGGTCAATGTTGCCAGATGTTCTTGTACAGGACGTGAATGTACGACAAAACGCAGTGGATCATTTCGTTCGCTTTGTTGAACTATGTGTTCGACCCGGCAAACACTAAACAAAAAAAAAGACAGACAAGGCGCATTACTATATCATATCAGATCATCTCCATCTAAACTAAACAATAATCAAGTCATTCTTTGCTCCATATCATCAATTCTGTAATAATAAAAGAAAAACCATAATTCTCGTCGGCACTTGGATGTGGCATAAATTCTTTTTTTAAGTTTCAGGGAGTCACACATCTGATGTGGGATTGTCAATAATGTCAACTTTAAAAACTATTATACAGCGATCTGTTTCTACTATACGATCTACTGCACATAACGTTCCTCGACATCGTCGTCTGACGAACACAGCTTCTCTATGCCAGCAGGAAGTACAACGATCACAGCAACGACAACCCCAGTTAAAGATCGATTCGCCTGCGGCTAAAGCCAACAAGTACCTCTACACGATCCCGCAAGATCCTTATGTTGCTGCCCAGCGCGTGTCGCGCATTGCCAAAGTTGCTTCTGCTGATGATGCATTAGAATACTTGAAATGCTTGCGTGTTGGTCTTCAATCGACAGCAGCGTGGAACACCGTCATTAAACAGTATGCGACTCAAGGCAAAGGATCGCAAGCAGAAAAATGTTTTGTTCAGGTAAAACCTCTCATAGTTTGCGATAATTCCACAACGGATATGTGTAGCTTGACATTTTATTGTTTAGATGAGAAAACGAAACATTCCACCCAACGAACAGACGTTTACGGTGCTCTTAACAGCGTGTGCGCATTCGTCGTCTCCTGCTGCAATCCGCAATGCACAACAAGTGATTGATCGTATGGCTCGCTACAACATCAAGCCAAGCATCATCCATTACAATACACTCCTATTAGCATACGAAAAAACACAAACGCCTGTTCAGGATGTTTTCAAACGTCTACCATGCAAGCCGAACGAGTACACATATAGTATTGCTTTTCGATGTGCAGACAATGTGGATTTTGTGAAACAACTGTGGATTCAAGTACAGCAGAGACTAGGCAACAATCCAACAGAAGCAAGAGGAGGTCGATCCACACTGGCACAGAAAGCATGCCAAATAACCATGACCGAAGAAGCTTTACAGCACGACGACGACGACAGCAACGACAAAGCCAATCGTGATGACGGTAAATTCACACTGGATGATCGACTCGCAGCATCGTTTCTGTCAGCATTAGCAAAAACGGCAACAGAGCCGGATGATATCCAGTTGGGTGTGGATGCGATTGAACAGTTATATGGTTTACGTCCAACATCATCCACCAACAGCGCACCTGCCAAACCCACAAGCAAACATGGTCTGCTTACTCCCACAGTTTATTCGCTTGACGCCATATTGCGGTTCTGTGGACGATCGCGAAGATACAAACTTGGGCGAGAATATTATGGTTTAGCTTTGAAACAATACCCGCAACTTGTCCCAGATAAAGCTTTGTTGGATACCCGTGCTTGGTTGGATGGAGGAGGAGCAAACACAAAACGTCATTCAAACCATCGTCAGCACCGCCAACAACGTCATTCTTCCCAATTAGAAGAAAAATAGAATTCTGTAAATTACATTTTTTCGTCTTTTTCTTTTGTCTCTGCATTACAACCAACCATGTTTATTTGATGACAAACAAATGGTCAGCTATATCAAGGATGAAAATTGACTTTTAAGCCAAAACTTGTAAAAAACATACATTACATATTTATTCGTATTAGAGATAGCGCGTGTGTGAGGATTGTTTGTAAAATGACGTGTGTGAAATGTCTGTGCGTGATTTTTATGTAGTAAAGTAAATGGGTTATCATTGTAATAGGATGAAATACTGTGGATGCATAGATGATTAAGAAGAAAATTAAAAAACAACAACAACGACTAAATAAAAAAGAGTCTAAAAATTATCTTAAGGCGTAATGGGCAGTAATAGTAGGAATTATTGTAAGAGGTGATGGGGGACTTTTGGGTCTCTCAAGGCAAACCGCCCATGGATGCAGCAGCTGCAGCAGCTGCCGCTGCCGCTGCCGCCGCCGCAGCGGCCTCTCGTTTCTTCTTCCCCGATCCGCAAGGTCTTCCACGCTTTTTGCGCTCAGCATCAACGCATGTATCAGATTTGTTGAGTCGAACACACCGTGAGCATGGCCGCTGTACATCGCATGCGACATGCGATTGTTTGCACGAAACACACGCCTTGCGTACATAGATCTGTGGCCGTTGGTCACCCCCTACATGCGCAGCAAAGGAGGATGAAGAAGATGATAAGGAAGATGTGGATGATGATGAAGCGATCGACGAAGGTCCCATATGAGGCTGTTGTTGCTGATGATGATGGTGGTGGAGCTGCTGGTGTTGTGGTGGTGGCTGTATAGGGTGGTGGTGATGATGATGATGTCCAACCATGGACATGCTGCCGCTGTTGCTTGCAAAGTGATCGCTTGGTGGAAACGGTGGCTGGAAAGACATGGTGTCGTTGCTATCGTTTCCAAAGGGATAGAACGATTGAGACGACGGGTCGAATGCTATTTGTTGTTGCTGCTGCTGCTGCCGCAATTGATGTTGCTGCTGTTCTTGATGATGATGACGATGATGTTGCGGCTCATGCTGTAGTCGGAACGGTTCATCATTATACGATAGTACGCCAGATGATACATGATCTAGACTGTAGAAGTCTGTGGGCTGATCGATAGTGTACTGCTCTTGTGGCTGTTGCGGTTGCATTTGTTGTGGTGGTGGTGGAGGTGGGGGTTGTACAAATGTCTGATGTTGCTGTTGTTGTTGGATTGCTGTAGCAGATAGCAAAGATGAGGGATCTGTATCGTCGTATGATAACTATTAGATCAAATAAAATGACTAAAATCAATAAATGCAGCTCTTGGTACAAAACTGGCAACCCAAACATATGTGTGTGTTTTTACCTGAGTAGGATTGCTTGTAAGGTCATTATTGCTGCTTTCCAGAAGCTGCATATACTTCATATCAAAATCCTGCGAGTCCAGCGCAGCCAACGTCTGATCATCGAATACAAATTGCGAATAACTCATGGCCAAATCATCTTGTTGAGATGTAGGCATAGCAAACGCGGCATTGTCTGATAAGGGATGGTGGTGATGATGATGATGACGGTGATGGTCCTGTTGATGATGTTGTTGTTCATACATAATTTCTGCGAATACTTTTTCTCTTTTTATCCCCTTGAGAGAAGAGAAGAAGAAGAAGAAGAAGAAAAAAGAGAGAGACAAGGGAAAGGGATTGCTCGTACTCAAGACTTTATCATAATCTGATTTAGCAAACATACAAATCGGAGAAACTAAGACTTTGCGATATTGGTTTCCAATCTGTTCATTCACTTTGAACAAGACCTGTCATTTTCGAATATCAACTGTCGTAACAGATCTCGGAAAATACACGCAGCAACTGATCTGGATTTGATTGTTTGTAGCAAGCACTTTGGTGTAGCACTAAGTTATCACATCAGATGTGGCAAACAAACAAAGATCGGCAACTGTAAATGTAGAGCATAAACTACAACGGTAATACGGTGGAGAGTAACTTTGCTCATGGTCAGCCACATGCAATTACTTTTTCATAACTGGCTCATCTGAAGCTTTTAGTGACTGTCTTGAGCCTGAGCAGCTTTGTTCGAATAGTTATCGAATAGTTATCGAGTATGCGAACCAAAAGAGCACCTGGTAATACGCAAATATCACATAATCAATCAAAGGCGGAGCTTACTTGATTCCGAAAATCCCAAAAGACAAGGTTTTTTGTATGTGCGATCCAATGACTTAGCGGATGCTACAAAGCGTGTACACACTAACTCCAAAACCCCAACTTTCTTCGCCATGACTTTCTCATGAGGCTTCGCCATTCCATACACTCGCTATCGTTTGTTATCTCTCTATTACTACTACTGTGTCAGCAGTTTTGTGAAGGGGTTAAACTGAAGCAGCAGCAAAGTCCCTTTCATGTTTTCCCAAGCCCAACACAATCGTTACAACTAAAAGCAATATACCACCGACCGCCGGAATCGCGGACCGTATGGCGCCAAGAAGTCGTTTATACGACTACCGCTTCCTCCATTCCGAATTTCCCTGTTTCCCCGGTACTAAGACTCATTTCTCGACCACGAAACACGAATCAGCAACTTCGAGACCTCTACAATCAGGGCCGGCTCATGAGGTTGTCCGCTGCTGACATGACCGAGTTCGAATCCAGTTGGGGCCTTGTGCCAGACGTTTCTCACCGTCCTTCCATATTGGCTTTGGCCATGATGACAAATAATGCCTATACGTCGTTGAATAAAACCGATAGTACAGACTGGTATCCGCTAGGTCCACCTTGGAATGTTGTAAGAATTTCTTTTCTTTCCTTATATTATCGCGATGTACATATATAGCTCCAAATGTACTGATTTTTTTGATCCTTTTACTGTTTTATGTCTCGGGTTTGTTAGAATTCAACTTTTGGATGGGATGACGATGGGATCCGAGGACATGTCTTTGGAAACGAGGATGATTCGCTTCTGGTGATCAGTATCAAGGGCACCAGCGCTGGATTATGGACAGGTGGTTCAACGGGAGAAAGAGATAAGCAGAATGTAAATTTTGTTTCGAAAAGAAATCGGCTCAAATTTTGTGGGGAAAAAAAAAGTAGTGCTAATGGTATATGTATATACATGCGTTAGGACAATATGCTTTTTTCATGTTGCTGTGGCAGGGTCAGTCGAGTGTGGCAACCTGTATGTGAGTGCTATGTAGGCAACGATTACAAATGCGAATCCCATTGTCTTGAAAAGGCGCTTCTGGAACACGAACTCTACTATGATCATGCATTGGTAATATATACATAAATTAATTTAAAACATTGTTACTGATGCAAAGGCTACAATAATGTTATTTTAGGAAATATACAAGGAGGTAGCGGACAGGTATCGTTATGCGACAATTTGGCTAACGGGTCATTCGCTTGGCGGGGCCTTGGCAAGCATGGTCGGCGCAACGTTCGGCGTACCAACAGTGACCTTTGAGAGCCCAGGCGATCAACTTGCCTCCTCAAGACTGCATCTTCCCCATCCACCCGGAGCTGCGAATATGCCTATGTGGCATTTTGGGCATACCGCCGATCCAATCTTTGTGGGCGTTTGTACAGTAAGCATCACTATTTAGCCAGTGTTTGCTGCATCCTCGCACTTAAAACATTAAAAAAATCTACAAATGTACTATTAGGGTCCTTGGAGCAGTTGTTGGTATGGAGGGTTTGCTCTGGAAACCCGATGTCACACAGGCAAGGTATGCAAACATGAAACTAGATCAAGTGGTGATGGTGTGTGTGTGTGTGTATCGATACATATACAGATCAACAATCGGATCTCATAACTAATTCTTTTATCTTTGTTCAAACTGAATACTGATGGATGGAAAAGGTTTGCTCGTGGGACACGGTGAATGAGCACGGATGGCGCGTAGATATTCGATCACATCGTATTGGCGATGTGATAGAGAAGATCCTCAAACGACCAGACCAATTTCCTACCATGCCTGACTGTAAACCGGAACCGGACGAATGTAGTGATTGTCAGCTGTGGGATTTCTACGATGAAAGAGATTCACTGCTTTATTAATCCTGAATCCACTGTTTTTATATTTTTGTATTTTAGCCATGATACACATCATCATCTCAGTATAAATATGTATGTAATATAGTTTAGATAGACAGATTATATTTTATTCTCGCTTGGGTCACGTCTTTGTTTTCTTTGATATTACAATATTATTGACGAACATCGCATTCGACATGGGATAAGACGGGATTTTCTCTATTTGAAAGAGCAATCATGTATTCCTTGTACTGTCATTTTTGCTTTTATCAACGGGTATATATGGAAAGCACACTAGAAAACTATGTCTTCAATAACACTCCTTTTTCACCTTAATCCTTCTTTATCCAACACCTGCCACTTGAAGCTCTGTTTCTCAATATCAAGGTGAATGCTCTCATTTCTGTAAGTGAATGATTTCAAAGTAATCATGAGCAGAGAGGTGCTGTATATGCCATCTAATCCAATCTAGGGTGACAGTATGTCCAGATTTAATGAAGCATAAAGCGTTGGGAAAAAACAATACACGATATGAATATATAACAAGTGATTGATTAGAACAAGAGCAATCAAAGTTCATTAATTACAGTACATGCATGTTGTAATAGCTTTAAGGCGTACACTGATGCCACTGCTACGTATATGCAACTGTGGACTTGCGCTACTCCACATCAAGTGTATATCGTATCAGAGCACTTACTAATATCGTAGGTAACAATACATACTGGTTACGTGACAACAAAGTAGAGCTGAGTGATACAAGTGTGAAAGTATCCAATTATGAGCAAATCAATTAACTTGTGGATACCACAGCTGGATATCTGTCGATAATCTGATGTGTACAGTATTGAATTGTTATTTGGAGTATCCTTTGAACGTGGTGCATACTATTTACGCACAGAACTGTCATATATGCACTGGAACTTAGTTTCTGGTGATGTGCAGCGATAGAGGAACGGCAACATCTCTAACAACATGAAGGTCCTTTTTTATTGTCTGGCCTGTGTTATATGCTCTATAAAGATTTGCTGGGATAATTAGTGTCATTAAATAAAGATTTATACATCAGTCTGAACAGGATGATGGACAAGTCCAATATCGAAGACCGAGACCCTTGTTTTTGCAGCAATAAATGCACTAAAAATGTACTATTTGCTTTAGTGGAGGTCACGAGAACTAGCCTCTTTTCATTATTTTTGGAGCGACAAAGGACAACCTCCTCTCAGATCGAGTGGTACAACATCACTTCTTTTGTGTTTCATTATTCTCAAACTCACTTCCCTTTTCCGTTCCTGACTTATTTTTTCGCTATAGCTTTACAATGCCTCCTGAGCCTCTCGCTACTACAGCTACCTTACATTCCTCAGGGCCGCTACCACCACCACCACCAAAAGCCAATACCCATTCCGATAGTGACGATTCTGACCAAGATTCCGAGGATGGACAGTTTTCGTTGTGTGATTTTGATTTAGACGTTGTTGATGAAGCTTTAATGAATCCCAACAACAACGAGTACCGCGACCATTTTGGATTCCGGATCCAGGTTAAGACGGATGACGAGGATGAAGGAAGTAGTTCGGACGAAGACGACGACGACGATGACGACGAACATGGCCGACATGACGACGATTCGGACAGCAGTTCATTCCCAAAACAGACGAAAAGTAAAAACAAGCACTCGTCCTCTGCAGCGTCAAGTGATACAGATTACTCGGTGGATACAGCCATGACAACACCGACAACGGCAAAGCATCCGCCACTACTGGATGATTTAGAACAACAGCCTGCGATCGCTACGCCTGCTCGTCGTACTCGTGGACGGGCTGCTACCGTGTCGAGAGCAAATGACCCTCCTCCACCACTTCCTCCTCTCAACCTTTCATTTTCTGGAAGTGAAGGCATCACAAAAACAGCCACGTCAGGAAGAAGACGACGAGCCACCACAGTATCGCGACCTCAGCCACCGCCTATACCGTCCCTGCCGACTGCGACAGCACCATCGGCAGTATATGAAATGCTGAGCGAAGAAGTGGAGCAGCAGTTTGTCGAGGAAACGCATAAGCAACAGCAACAACTACTCAATGCCGAGCAATCACACGCACCTTTTGCCCAGCAGCAACACTTTTCACCTGTTTCTGAGCCCATTGCAGAAAATCAATATCATACGGAGCACGAAACGGTTATGGATAAGCAGCCTACTGCCGTACAGCATGATATGACGCAGCAGCAGCAGCAGCAGATCTCAGATAAGGAGCAATCGATGACTTTGGAGCAGCAGGAGCAACACCTAGCCACACCAGATAATTATCATGCAGTTGCCGAGCAGAAACAATCGATCCTTGAGCAGCAACATGCAGACGAACTCGTCTCGCTCGGAACAGAAAAGCAACACACCGTTGACCAGCCAACAATGAATAATGTGGTGCATAATGAAAAGCAAACCAGTACCTCAGAATATCACACTCTTGTCGAACAGCGGCAACAGCAGCAAGGGTCAATGCAACCAATCACAGAAGCCAAAATCCATGCTACTGGAGTACAAGAAGAGGATCCAATCCCTGAACAACAAAAGAAGGAACTTCCGCCACTCCCACCATGCGATAGCAACAGTGTTTCAATGGCAACCACAAAATCAACTGCGTCTGGATCAACAAGCGATCACGAGTCGGTCCGATCTACTAGCTCTGAATACAATGGCCGCAGTCGTTCAGATAGTTTAGGAGCGAAATCCTTTAGCTCATTCAACCCGTTCAAACGCGCCGGCTCGCCCTCGTCGACCCGTACCGGGACCCGTGCTGTCGAGCGACCCTCAGCCGCATTTCGCGAACGTCAAAGCAAACGCATGTCTGAATTTTATCGGTTCCAATCGCAACCTTCGTCGCCATCAACATCTTTCCAAACGAGCAACAATCGATTGTCGTATGCGAGTGCATCTAGCTATTATGACATGCTCATGTCCAAGTTTGGCCGTTCTTCTGAAGACCATCACCATCATCCATCACCCTCTGGCCTTATCCGACATTCGCCCAAGCATACAGCACTAAAAGATGAAGCGCAACAGCATATTGGAAGTCTCAAGACGACTGACCCTGATCATGACTATGGTAATTTTGCAATTTCACGTCCCAAGGTTTTAAAAAAACATTTACTAAGTGGCAAATGTTGGCATTGTTGATTAGATTTTTGGGAGGTGTTTATTAATGACACTGACGAGATGATCCGAAGCCAGCCCGATTCTGTCAAGCATCACATGATTGCTGGTATTCCTCCTTCGCTACGCGGCTACGTATGGCAAATCATGTCCAAATCCCGCAACAATGGTGAACTCGAATCCGAATACCGCGAACTCTTGAAACGCATCAGTCCGCATGAAAAATCAATCCAACGCGACCTGGCAAGGACGTTCCCTACACACGACTTTTTCAAGGAGCGTGATGGTGAGGGTCAAGAGTCGCTTTTTAACGTGACAAAAGCGTACAGCATCTTTGATCAACAAGTTGGTTATTGCCAGGGTTTACCCTTTATCGTCGGGTGCCTTTTACTCCATGTATGTTATATTCGATTTTACCACTTTATCGACTCTTATTGCTGTGAACGGATTGACTGACTGACATTCACAATGTGTTATTCCTCCTTTGGATTAGATGCCGGACGATATGGCATTTTGCGTACTAATTAAGCTCATGAGCCAATATGGCTTGCGCGCCCAATTCATGCCACAAATGGAGCTGCTTCATGAACGACTTTATCAATTCGAGCATATCTTGCAACAAAAGTTGCCGCAAATACACAAGCATTTAGAAACCCAAGGTGTTCAGCCGAGCATGTATGCCTCGCAATGGTTCCTGACACTGTTCGCCAGCCGATGTCCTCTTCACCTAGCATACCGGGTCTTCGATATGGTACTACTCGAAGGATCTCATGTCGTGTTACGTTTCGCCTTGGCTTTAATGTTCCGCAATCAACATACCTTGCTAAACCTGGAATTTGAAGCGCTCGTGGAGTTTCTAAATAACGCTATCTTTGATACATACAAGGTAAAAGGGGGTGATCCTCTCCCACCCTTTGTTGTTATGGGGAAACAGGGGAAGCGTGTGTTCTTGAGTAAAGTCGAAAGGAGAAAAAGTCTAATCATACCATACGCACCTTGAAAATATGCACATAGGACGATGAAAGCGGTTTTGTTCATGACGCTTATAGCATGGATGTTCCCACGCGCCTCTTGACCCGTCTCGCCAAGCAACATGCTACTGAAGCAGCACGCGAAGCGAAAGCACAATCACAAGAAGAAAATTTGCGACGCATCAACACAGAGCTTTCGAGCCACGTACGACGACTCGAGAAATCTTACCGTAATCTCGAAAACGAACACCAAGAAGTAACACGGCAGGTGATCGACGCTAAAATGAATGTGGCACGAATGGATGACGAAAACCAACAGCTTAGGTGGCAGTTATCGCAAGCCAAGACAGAAATTGATCAGTTGAAGGCATCTATGCCGGTCGTCGACGATCTCCAGCGCCAGAATAAGCAGCTGACGCAAAAGAACGGACACTTGGAGAATCAGCTGGAAGATGTGGAAGCAGTTCTTATCAGTCTCAAGATGAAATACGCAGAGAGTGAGAGTGCGTATGAGGGAATGAAGCAAAAGCTACACAAGGCTGGTATTTTTTAGAAAAGCGTGATTTTCCATATCTCTCTCTCTCTCTTTATATTATTGTACATACACACTATTGCCACCAGTTATTCCTCCCCAAACCATCCGTTGCGTTCCTCCTTATCTACGTTATTTCTATTCTTTGCTACTACCTACATAACATCCGCCCATGTCTATCTTCTTATCTGTTCGCTATCTGACATTGCTTATATATATATTCCCGACACTACCACCCTGCTTCTTGTTCTTTCTATCTACCCGCTTGTTGCTTTCCAAAACAAACTTGTGCTACAATAATAGTAATCCCACACCATAAATTTTGTACGACTACTTGTCATGCATTAAAACATACAAATTTATTACTATTAAGCTCTTACATGTATGATATATAAAAAAATCAATACTATTTTGTTTGTGATATATGTGTATATATGTATATATGGGGAGGTGGTTATTTGTGTGTGTTCATGCTATAGGGTTCTCGTCGATAAATAAAAATTTGTTCATTTTGCGTGGATTAAAGTAACGGAAACGGGTTTGATTTTTAGATTGTGTGGATGATGAATTTAAAGACGTGGTAGATGGAGGAGGAGCGTACATATTGCACTGGACGAATGATTGTTGCTGTAGTTGCGCATCGGCTGCTGCTGTTGTGCTTGTTGGAGATGCGGATGGCATGAAAGATGAAGTGATGCTGCTGCTGGATGATGATGTAGTGGACGATGATGGTGATGATGAGGGAGCAAATGATAGTACGGAAAGCATAGAGCCGGATGGGGTGATTTCATGGTGAGACGAGTCCTGATCGCTCCTTCTGCTGCTATGTGGTACGGGTACGGGAGTTGTTGGCTGCGGTGCTGGAGGGGATGGTGCTAATGACGATGATGATATTGATGATGATGGCGATATGGCTGAAGATGAAGGTGATGATGATTGGTCTTTGTTTAACGCGATCGATGGTTTTAAATTTGCCAAGAAATAGTCCGGTTTGTTGTTTTGTCTTTGGTAGAGTTGCTGTTGTTGTGCAGTACTGTCGTTTTTGTTCGCTGGAAGTGCGTAAAGTTGATGCCGTCGAATTTCGACCTCAATCCAATCCGCGACCTGGACCCAATCCTTGTTCCGTGCTTGGTGCTCGTGTGTCTGAGTAATGATACCCAAACACTTTTGCAGGCTGTTGTCGTACTCTTCCTTGTCGATACCGTTCAAAATCAGCGGGGATGCACATGCGCGGTATATATCCATAGCATTTGAAATCACTTCGGCTACACGCCACATCTCATCACGATCAAACGCGCAGTGACAGAACGGGACCTTTACGCAAGTGTTGAGCGCTCGCAGCAGGATCAGTGCCCTTGACAAGCAAATGTTCAACGACTCGAGTGAAAAGCGGCCGGGATAGCGATCGTTGACATCTGGAATAAACGGCTTGTGCAAAATAATGCGACTTGAGTTACATTCAATGTTGACCCGAATGCACGCGAGAAACAGCTCTTCGGAACCGTACTCGAATCCACTGTCAAACTTTAGGTACGATGGCAACGCTTCGTACATGCTGACGATCTTTTGATCATATGCGTTGAGCTGTTCGACCGTCATTTCCGCTTCGCGATCCCACAGCATGTGGATAATGTCGGCTTGGACCCGCCAAAACTGGATGCAATGGTGATAGCACAGTACACTGATCTCGCCGTCATCAATGTCTTGCTCAAACACCCTTGGGATGTCCACACCGCCATGTCCTCGTATCTGAGGCGTGTTTTTCGGCGCTCCTGCAGAATACAGGTACAGATCAATCGACCAAGCAAACCACCACAGTCGGGTGTCGATTTCTTTTTCGAAATTCTCGTCGTCTGCATTATACGCCATGCGAGGGTAAATCTCGAGCTCATGCAGCATGGACACGGCCATGCCCATGTAATGATGTCGCCTGCTGGTTTCGGCTCGAATGCTCATGTAAATCATGCTGAGCACGGCATAGCGGTCGGGACAGTCGAATGATTGGCCCAGACAGTCTCTGGCCCTGTTGAAAAAGAACTCCTCCTGTTCCTGAAGTTGATATGGATCTTGTCGAAAATGATCGAACTGTGGGCCGCCGTGGTGGAAGACCATGTGACGGAAGCAGTGGGAGCACAGGGCATTGACAATGAGCGTGTCTGTCGGAGACGGATGGTTGTTGTACCAGGCCATAAACTCTTCCCTGGACAGGATAGGGAAATAGCGGACCCAGCAGGTGAAAAAGGTCTTGATGCACGCATCCACAATCTGTTGCAACGTTGTCATCGGACCATGTTTCGAGTGCGGGTGTAAGATTTGCCCGAGCCCACAGGCTGAGGCAAAGAAATTGACGGGCTTGATCCGTGAGTTGGGGTTGCGATATAAGACGATTCCCGTAGCGCTGCCTTTTCTTTCGTCCGCCTGGTCTTTGTCGCTGCCCTGTGGTGTGCAGCACATTTTGCTGAAGGCGTCTATCAACACGCGGAAGTCGGAAACGCTCGAGATGCGGGCCTCCATATTGATGCCAAGGTCGGTGTAAGAGATGTTGAACTTTGAAAATATATCGTGCAAGGCAACTGCTCCTTTCGGTGTTGTGGCTGCTGTCATCAGGGGTGCGGTCGTTGACTCTTCTTCATCGGCCGTCGTCATTTCATCGTCTGTGATTACTGGTGCTGATGCTGTTTGAGCCGCAGTCCAGGGTATAGTTGTTGGTGGCGAGACGAGCCCAGAGGGCTCGCTGTCGACACTACTCCCTGATGTCTCTAGCGGTGTTGGCGGACTGCTGGTAATCAAGGAAGGAATGGTGTCCAGAGTGTAGTTGTTTGTGTCGATGGCAAGCCCAGTGTGCTTTTTGCTGCCAGGGTAACGACGAGGAGACTGCAAGAAGGTGTTGTTGCTAGGATACATTGGCGAGAATGCCTCCGATTTTGCGTTATTATGGCTGATTCCCCAGGGCTGCTGCTGATAATAATTGTTCCACGAAAACGTCGACTGTTGCTGTTGCTGTTGATGATTATGATGCGGGTTCTGGCGTTGGTAGGGATAATGATGCTGCTGCCCATGCTCTAGGTGCGGCTGCTGCTGGAAATCGAATCCAAATTCGTCTTCTGGGAAGGGTGGAGTGAAGCAGAGCGGATACGCATGGTCAGATGGGTCGTTTGATCGGAATCGCTTATGCGTTCGTTCAACCGTAGCAAATGGCATGGCTAAAATGAAAAGAGAGAAAGAAAAGGAGAAAACGGAAGAAAACAGGGTCTGCTGTTGATGCTGCTGTTGTTATTTGCGTGTGAGAGTCGAGAGAAGATCCAAAGCGAGTGTTTTCAGAAAAGCAGTAAGGGAAAAAGAGAAAAGAGATTGTGGGAAAGTTTGTTTTATTTATACATCGTATCACGGTGTTTGCCCAAATGCTATCTCTCTGTGCCTTGCCCATTTCCCTTTGCAAAGCTCTCATATAACAACAAAAAGTGTATATGAGCGAAGGTTACACGGCGACTGAGGTACAAAGACACACACCAATGGCATCGCGGAGTGATAACAAAAAGTATAATTATTCCAGCACAGACAACAGTTACTTTCGGGAAGTGGAGAGTGCGAGAAGGGAAAAACTTTGCGCCTGCACAATTGATTTTCGAACGATGATCAAACAGAAAACATGAAGAGACTTATATATAGAATGGAAGCGCTTAGCGGAAACTGCAAGCAAAGAACGGCAGATCATTCTTCTATTCATTTTTCTCCTCGTACGGTGTCACAAAGGTTATCCTAAACTTGAACGATAAGCCTGTGTGTGCGCGTGCCCTTTGTAACACTGAAGAACATTTGATTTTGGCAATCGGAGCTCATGTGTTGCCGTATGTGGGCGTGCATACTAAGTTGTTTCTACATGTGTTTGTGCGCTGCGTATTATCTATGATAACTAGTGGTGAGGTTTCCTTCTTCCTTTCTCTCAGATCCTTTTCGCTTATCAACAGAGCTGCCGTTACTTTTTTTGTTCAAGCCCGAGCTGGGCCCCCCTGTTCTTCAGGGTCAAGTTGGCATTCATTATACCCAGTACAACCAATCTCTCTTTTCCCCCATCTACACAAGAAGCCTTGTTTACTTTATAGTCTGCAGCGCTGTGCCATGAGCCATGCTTCTTGTATGTATGATAAGATGCGGGTACCCCTCGTGTGTTTCTCTGCTTTTGGTTACTTTTATATGAGGCGAGGTTTTGTAAAAATCGGTTTATTTTGTCTTGTATGGTTTTCCCAGCTGAAATTGTAAAAAGGCGGGAGAACACGTAGTTCTGTTGACTAATAAGAGATCTTCGTCCAGCTTCTGAACACTTCGCTGACCGAACAAAAAAACAAATCTTTTTCCCTTGCGGTAAAACATACGTCGTCAAAGACCCTTGTCGACTGACCGAAGTAATCTAAAAGAACCCCTCAAAAAAACAAGCAAGAGGTCCCTGCAACCCTGTATTGATATCACAACAAAGTAAGTTAGCGGAATATTGTGCTATATCTGTGGCTGTGATGCTGACATAACGTACAAATCTATTGGGTTTCGATACAGATGATGGTGGGAACCTGCTATACTGCGTACTGGAAGTACCATTACTGCACGCATATACTTTTACCACGCCTACCTGCAGCGTCTTAGCATATCTAGGGGACATTCAAAGTGTGTGTCCACATGCGTAATAAGCATCATTGTACAGTACCAGTGTTTTTTTCCACGGTCTGCTATGTCTAAACAAACTAGTCACTCAACAAGGAAAAGAAAATGACATGTCTCTCCAAAACTTTTTTTCCTCTTCCTTACAAAGCCCCATGATTTGAAGGGAAGGTGAAAAGGCCCATCCTCTTATACATACTTGTTGGGCCTTTGATCAGCACACTTGCTAGGTTTCCGGTGATTTTAAAAAAAGAATAAACAGAAAGGATGGGTCATTTTGTCACATCAGGATGAGCCACATAGTCGATAGTAAACGAACGACAGGAAAGAATTGCCTTTTAGATTTTAAAGACGAGTGGTTCATTCAAACCGGAAATTCAAATGAGCCGGTTGAAAGGTTGACCATTGCTGTTTGTTGTGATTAGTAAGTCTAACTAACTCGTTACCTTCACTTGCCATTTATCAGGGTCTGATTATTTTTATCAATCCCTTTAGGTTTTTTTTCTTACCACACACTTGGGTACAAAAAGCGTATCGCATTTTTCCATTTTGCCCAGCAATATACTATATATTAGCAAGCTGACGCAAACTTTTGCAATGATGAGAAATTTTCCGAATGTTGATAAGCAGTAAGAGTTCGATTGCTCACGACGCACTGTTTACAAAAAGTCCGCGCTCAGTTCGGCAAGCAACATCAAGGGATAGAAAATATAGTGATATTAGTGATCTTTATATATTGAGAACACTTATGCCACAGAGCAACAGCGACAATAGTGTCTTGCTCTCACTATACCTTCGTTACATGTATCTTGACATTTACCCACACGTTCTACTCTATTCTGCAATTGAAGGATTGGTACAGTACAACGTGTACATACTATTGTCTCTTTTTAACTTAACATGACGCTCAATTTTATCATGAGAATGGCTATTTTGCCTAGCCAACCTTGTGCAACGATTCCACGTTTATTCTTAAGGATGCTGCTAGATCAAGAAGGTTCTTGGAAAAAAAAAGTCGGAAATGAGCAGGTATTATTGTCGTTTATGATCATGTCATATTAGGAGAAAATCGTATCAAGAGGCTCGCTCGGAAGCGGACGAGAGTATCTAAATCTTATTGACTCCGTCATGGACGGATAGACGCAATTTTTGGTAACAATGCCGAATTTATAATGTGCCACTTTCATTAAAGGTAGGTTTGAAATGATATTGCTCCTCCTGCTGCTGTTATCATCGGTGGGCCAAGCTCTCTACAGCACCAACAATACCATCTTCAGCATCTAAAACAAGAGCCGAAAAAAAGTGGTTGATCGGTTGAACACACGGACAGAAGAGGAAATATCACTCACACGACCTTGATGGTTCCTTTTTATATGGTTGAGCCTGATTTGGCCTGTAAGACATGTCTGGGCTTAATAACAGTAATTTTAAATAGAAAAGTAACAACCCATTAAAATACCCAAGAGTACTTACGGCTTTCTACGCACACTGCTGACAGGGTACGTCATCCTCACTATACGGTAATACATAAAGGGTTTAGTCGTTGATAAGTAATTGTCGTCGTGCCAGGTGCACTTACCTAAGGCGCCGCCGGGCAACGCAGGACTCAACCAGAGCCCTGCTCCTTAATAGTGGGCTATGCAACCGATTATAATAACGAAGGAATTTATCAGAACTGATAAATTCTCACACGAATGACAACTTTTCACATTGCTCTAAAGCATAACAGCACAACTTACATGACGCTACCCTGTGCAGGTCAGTGCCCGAGAGAAAGAGAGAGAGAGAGACAGAGAGAGAGACAGAGCAAGCAGAGCGAGAGAGCGAGAGACAGAGAGAGAGGCTACCCCTGCATGGAGAGATCGCAGCTATAACGTATCAGCAACGGGAATAATTGATTTTACAATGTCTCTGTCTCGGCTTTTCTACTTGACCAATGTGGCCCGCTATAATATTGGCATAAAGGATGAAAATGCGGTCAACTTTTCAAAAAGCAAGAGTCTCAAGCAAGTGATGCTACTAAAAAGCACGGGTGCCATCATTAGCAAAACAACAAAGAAACTCCTTCGCGATCATGGAATAAATATTAAGCTTAAATAAGCGATTTTAAAACTTAGATTGTATATAGTTAATACAATCTTTATCGAGTAAAGAAAGGATAGTACTCAATCATATAATATTGTTACCTCTTGGTTTGCGTGTGACGGCATATAAAAGGCTATCTCACTTGATATGTATAAAAGAAGCTTCTCATATATTATCAGTTTCTACGAGATTCAACAGCTCCAAGAGGCTCGGTCCAGAATTCCGACGATTTGACTTTATCTATTCCTCACACAACAAAAAGGCTCGACTGGATACATGCTACGATGACAACCCTCTGAGCTTGCTCGTCAAAACTATACAGAGCCTGGACCGCTTTCGCTACAGGAGTTCTACGTGCTGAGTACGTCAAATCCGATCTCATGGAAGCACCGTGTGCACTATGAAATGGACGGTTTTTACATATATATGACTTGCTAAAAATAAGCGAAAGTGCGCTTAATTATGTTGTCAAGTAGCAGCAACGTTAGCAGTAGCAGTGCATAGAAGTATTGTTGCTCGAAGTCGCCGGCGCTCGTATGAGCGGTATGCTGAGCCAGTTTCTAGAAGAAATTTAATCTGGTAAAGAAGGAAATCGGCCAAAGAGTGAGAGCAGCGACTATGGCTTCACCTCCAACACCCGCTTATATTTTTCGAGGGCATAATTCGTCAATAAATGCCGTCAAGTTTTTTGACAATGACCAGTACATTGCGTCTTGGTAATTTTTTTATTTAGTAATATTTAGTGATTACTTTGCAACAGATAATGCTACTTGGCTGACCCGTACACGCAAATATCGTTTATTATTGATTCTTTAAAATAGTGATGCGAACGGCGTGGTTTGCATTTGGAGAATGAAGACGCGACGATCTATACTTGAGTGGAAAGCCCATGAACACGGTTGTTTACAAGTGCACGTCTACGATTCCAACAAGCTTATTAGGCAAGAATAACGACGTGCTGGAATAGATACGTAAAATCAAATTGCTACTGGTGCTAATTTTACTACTATTCTCTCCCTCTCCTCCCACCACTATCAGTCAGGGGAGAGACAACGTGGTGCATATATGGCAACTTTTGCTTGATAACAGTGACAAGCTAAAGTGTGAAGCAACGCTGATCCACTCGATTCCATATTATTCACTCTCTTTTTGCCGGTCATCCATTTGTCAAACGTCAGGTATAGAATAATTAGAAAAGTTAATTTTTACTTGGTTGACTAAAAGGGAGATTCGAAAGATGATACGCTCTTATGCCTTCCACTCCGAGGTCACACATCGCTGGTTTGTATCGGTTGATTTTGATAATAAGAGGATAGAAGAAAGGGAAAGACAACAAGAGGGGGTATAGCTCGATGAGGAGGGAAAGGAAATCCCAAGACAGAAAAAAAATAGAAAGGGGCCGTTTATTTATTTAAAGTTCGTTTCTAGCTGCACAAAGATAACGGATGATAACTCAATTTCTAAGGGGAGGCATTCTGTTGACAGGGCATTTGACTGATATACAGCGCTTTTTTTTCAGGTAGACATCTACAGTATACAACAACAAAAATGGATCGTGCAAAAGATTGGGGTAGCAAAGGACAGCAACGAAAAGGACGATCGTCTATGTATGGCTGTCCAACTTTTCTGGCCAGGAGAAGGATCCACGCTGTTCGTCTTGGTCGGTTATGAGGACGGTTCAGTGGCACTATGGAACGTTTCTGATCTAAATGAAAAGCCAAACCTTGTATGGAAAGCAAAAGAGCACACAGCCCCAGGTAAATTATTTCGATTCAGTCCGATGGTCGATCGAAAACTAAAAAAGAGGGCTTCTTTTCGTCTAGTACTTGACGTCGCTGTGGATCGTACTGCCTATGCATTTGCTGTTTCTACTTCTGCCGATAATCAAATCGTCAAATATGCACTGTCGTCGCCGTTGTCGTCATCACAACGATCAGACGATAATCCAGTCATCAAAAAGTCGAGTATCAAAAAATCCGGATTGGCTGCTGTGGATATTCGAAGAGATGGCAAGATTTTTGCCACGGCTGGTCACGATGGCAGGTAAAGATAACGGTTAATGTGGCTGTTAGTATAAAACCGTTAAAAGAAAAAAGAAACTTATCTTCTATTGATCATGGATGATGATGATCATCGACCTTTAGAATCCGTGTGTTCTCGTGCAAATCACTTCAACCTCTAGCTATCCTGTCATACCATCGTGATAGTGTCTATACCGTCGCATTCGCATCGACACTACAAGATTCATCTGATCATTGGTTGATTGGTGGGTCCAAAGAAGCTAGGATTAGTCTATGGAGCATCTATTAGACATGCACGCACACAATCCCTCTCGTATCCCATCTCCTCCCGTCACACTAATATTCCTTACTCGCATTTTCAACATTTATTGTACCATACATAACAATCAACAAAGGTCATTTAAAACAGATACTTGGTGTACTATATGTATAATAAAAATGACACCTACAGTATACGTTGCATGTATATAAATGTCAGTAAAACATACTTTACCAAAAAGGCATCGTCGAAAGTAGAATCGCATAATGGTGTGTTTTGCACTCCATACTTATGATATCTGTGATTTGATAATGCAAAAGCATGGCGACGATCGATTCTTATCGTTTGTTTGTAAAGAAAGAATGTCAATACATGTTTTTTTTTTGAAAAAGAGAACCAAAACATGGATCCGCAGCGATCGATCCTCCTACTACCATGCAGTGCATCATATGGCTCTTTAATACATCATGTCTTTTTTTTTGAAGGAGAGTAGATGCAGTCGACAGCACATCATGCGTTATCTACTATCTTTTCCAACAGCGGCGGACGGTTGTATATCACTCAGTAGAAGTGTTACTGAGCTCCTTGTTTGGACAGGGATGTTCTTCTTTTTTAGAAATACGTATTAGTCAGTTGATGGAAGCGAAGGCATAGGTTTTCTTTTCCGTGTAAGGGCGAAAAGACCAAAGTCGTCAGAAAAGAAGGGCCTCATGCAAGTCAAGAGAGAGGGCGAAAGATAACGATGAAAAGAGGGAGAGTGTGTGTACTACCATGCGCTATGTGATGCGCGGCACTTCACATGTTTTTTGGGGATTCAATGCATATGTAGCAGTGAATTAGCGACTTGGTTGTTTTGTTGTTTATATCATCGATCGCGCGTAGAGTTAGAATTACAACCATTGCTCTCAGCAAAGTGCTAGTAATACCAAGAAAGCCGCATAGAAAACAATAAGATTGTATAGAGTTTGATGTGTGGTGGTGGCCCCGGTCCTTGTTGCACATAGATAAGAACTCATCTGCGTTGTTTCCCTTTGGCGATTTTCTTATCTATAAAGGGTATTATAGGTACAAAGTGGGAGTACAAGGGAAACTAGACAATACCCTTTCAACAAACAAGTTTGCTTATCAGTTATCTTTTAATATGGTTGCAAATATTATATAGCTTAGGCAACAACAACAACATCATCATCATCAATATCATCTCTCTTCTCCTTCCCATTAATAGCCCACTGTTACCTCCTTTCCTTTTTCCTTTGCCTCTCTTTTCTTTTTGCCATATATTTCTTTAAAGGTTTTCTACTATTCGATACCATGGACGCAGAATTACCATATGGTCCAGAGTTTAATGCGGGCAACATTGGCTGGGTGCTTGCCTCCACGGCACTTGTCTGGCTCATGATACCAGGAATTGGCTACTTCTATAGTGGATTGGCCAGAAGTAAAAACGCACTGTCAATGATCATGAGTGCTTTCCTCTGCTTGGTAGTTGTCTCAGTCCAGGTTTGTTACTCATATATTAAACATCAGTACATTCCTACTTTGATCAACACCAGCACTAGCAGCTGCTTAGAACGGTGTCAAACTCAAAAAACACACGAGGAATTATTCTTTCTGTTCAACTCGAAATAATATTAAACTGCATATGTTAAATAAAACGATAGTGGTTCATATGGGGCTACAGCTTAGCCTTCAGCGATACTGGCTCGGCTTTCATTGGCAATGTCAAACATGCCTTTTTCCGCGACGTATTGGGAGAGCCCTCACCTGGCAGCGCCAACATTCCCGCCATTGTATTTTGCGTATACCAAGGCATGTTTGCATGTCTCACACCAGCCCTGGCCATCGGTTCTGCAGCCGAACGCGCACGACTCATGCCTATGATTATTTTTATTTTTGTCTGGTCAACCATCGTATACGACGTTCTCGCCTGCTGGACGTGGAACCCGAACGGCTGGAGCTTCCAACTGGGCGGCCTTGATTTTGCGGGCGGCACACCTGTGCACATTGCCTCCGGCTTTTCAAGTTTGGCCTATGCATTGATCCTAGGCAAACGTGCAGGCAAAGGCAGCATTTCGCAGGAGAGCGATTTTAAGCCCCACAACATGTCAAACGTCGTTCTTGGCACAGCCCTTTTGTGGTTTGGATGGGTAAATATATATAGTCTCGCGCATTGCTCTTTCTCATATTTTCCCATCTGCATACCCTTACTACCATTCTCATCTTCTTTTCCATACCCTTTTTGGGAATCCATGACAGTTTGGGTTTAATGGAGGGTCAGCGCTAGGCGGCAGCTTGCGTGCCGGTATGGCATGCATTGTTACCAACTTGGCAGCATCGATCGGCGCCATCACTTGGATGGCATTGGATTATCGTATTGATCGCAAATTCTCAGCTCTTGGATTCTGTTCTGGTGCTATCTCTGGTTTGGTAGCAATCACACCTGCGGCAGGATTTGTTGGCCCTGGCCCTGCTGTCGCTATTGGTTTCTTTGGAGGCGTCTTTTGTAATCTTGCTTCGCACATGAAAGACTGGCTGCGTTATGATGATGCACTGGATGTGTTTGCCGTACACGGTGTTGGTGGTTACGTTGGCTGCATATTCACTGGCGTCTTTGCTGAAAGCTACATTGCCGCTTTGGACGGCACAGAAATCCCTGGCGGTTGGATGGACCAAAACTGGGTTCAAGTCGGCTATCAGTTTGCTGATGCAACTGCTGGTGCTGCTTGGTCTTTCTTCATCACCTATTTGATCTTGTTCATCATGGACAAAATCCCTGGCTTATCTCTTAGAGTCTCGCAAGAAGTAGAGTTACAAGGCTTGGACGTTGCAGAATTTGGTGAGCAGGCTTACGCGTATCACATCAACAAGATCGTTACTGTCGATCCAGAAACCGGCGAGCAAAAGGTTGTCCGTGAAGAGGTCAAGGAAGTGCCTCAGCACAATGACATCGGTCGAACTTCGATGGTGTCTTGAATAACGTAGCCTTCTGACAATATCTGCCTCTACCTCTAACATAGTGAAAACTATGTATTCTAAACCCTTTACCGCACAAACAATATTTCGTTCGATGTAGCGTAGTGTGTTTTATCTTCAGTGCATCTATACACTATGATATACAACAATATTTTTTTTTCTTCCTCTTCCCCTTCGTTTTCATTGATATATGAGTCTCTACTATACCCAGGGTCCTGCTTCTCCTCTTCCCAGCTAATATGCATTAACCTTTTCCCTACTCAATTGTCAACTATTACTATTACTACTATCGGTACTAGCCTGCTTATATGTACTAGCAAATAATACTTTGTAAAGATATGCTCATAGCTGTACATACTGTAGTAGTATACAACTGTGTAGTCCGAGTGCGACAACCTTTCGACATTGTAGCATAAAGTGTTTGGTTGCTTAAAAATATTCTAAACCCGCCTTTCGATTCAGATTTTAAAGTTGTGCCTATCGGTCGACATTCTTGCACTTCCAGAATATTTTGAATTTTGCTCTTTTTTCTTTATATCAAGAACAGATTTTTTAAGTCTCTTCTAAGCTCGAGATGAACTGTAAGTATGTGGCACCAGGAAAAGAGCATATGTATACTATAATTTAACAGATACGCATGTACATAACGAGAGTCCTACACACGCAAATTTATAAGCCGAGGGGAAAAACGAGTTGATAGGCCTTGATAAGCCCAGCCATAATGTTACTAAGTCTCATTTTATGTTATGTGTTGATTTGTTACGCACACAACTTGCGGCCCACCTCCGAGGTGTGTACAGCTGCCACGGAAAAAGAATCATTTAAGTAAATTTGTTACAAGAGCCCCCTTCTTTCTGTTTATCATGCAGCATCGATCGACACATTGAAAGTACCATATACTTATTATCACAGTATTAGTTGCTGATGTAGTACAAAAACAAAAAAGCATCTTGGCGTATTAAGTTGTTGATTAAACGGAGCCACATTTAACAAATACTGCATGTTCGCAAATTTATGATGGATTAAACGAGATTTCTTCCCGTATCCCAGCACGAGTGCTCGCTGGTACATACGGTTTAAGAATGCTGAAGAGTAGTAAGAACGCTCACTAAAAGGCAAATTGTCTCCAGCCAATTTTGATGATTTGTACTACATCATGACCTTCAGTGCTGCATTGCAATACCAACTTATACATCACTCACATCATGGTATAAATCCCAATCATGTGGACCATCGATCACCGAGCATACAATGTGCAGCATTTAATGCATTTGAAGGGGTCCTAGCTCTGCACTGTTGTCTCTAACTGAACGATAAAAGAAAGAGAATCGTCATCATTACTGTCCGTTAATGAGTGTTGCTTTTATGGTAGTCCTTCTTATCCTCTATGAATCCATAGGGTTCTTGACGATGGATGGTATTCCAGAATTCTGGATTCGTTGTTGCACACTTGTGCGTAAAGCTAGTGCATATGCACATAAACATATGTCACAAACAGAGCTGCAGACGGCATGAAACACCATTAACATCGCACAGACTACTAGAAACACAGGTCACGTTTGAATGAGAACATATGAATGTCCTTTCTCTCAATCTCCTCTCACTCCACTTCTCCCTCCTTTCTTCCTTTTTCTGTGGACCATCCATCCTTCCTCTTCAATTTTCTCAGTGGTTTACCATAGCCTTATTTGAGAGGAAAAATATGACTGCCGATGCAAGCAATACTGTCACTCTTGACAACATCCATCAAGTATTAAAGGACGACAAAAGGGTCAAGATTGCCACAGTTGACATTGACGGAGTCCTTCGTGGGAAGCTTATGCACAAGGAAAAGTTCTTACAAGTAATTGAATCTGGATTTGGTAACTATCTAAATGTACGGCGTATATCAATAAGATGTAAATGTGCTGAAATTATATAAACGAAACGCACAATTCTAGGTTTATGCTCAGTTATCTTTGGTTGGGACATTCAAGATATCATGTATACAACGCCTGTCGAATTCGGTGGGAAAGATTGCCACTTTTTTGACTTGGTTGCCAAAGTTGATTTAGCGTCCTATCGTCGGATCCCGTGGGAGAACAACACCCCGTTCTTCTTTGTTCACCTGATCCATCCAAGCACAAATGAACCCCTTTACTGCTGTCCCCGCGTGTTCTTGCAATCAGCTGTAGACGCTTGTGAGCAAGACCTCCAGTGTACTGCCTATTGTGGTGTTGAATTTGAATTCTTTTGTTTTAAAGGTAAATGACTTTTTTAGTAGGGTTGGGTGACAGAAAGTGATGTGGCTGTTTTGGGAGAGGGGGTGCTGTCGCTCGTATTAAGTTGGGGGCGAGGAAGGAAACAAGAGCCAAAGAGATAACACTCCGCGAATATCATCATGCATCCATTACAGAAAACGCAGAGTCTTTGGAAGCCAAAGGATTCGCTAACCCCAATCCCTTGACGGTTGGTATGTGCGGATACTCGTTATTACGTCCTACACAAAACCAAGAATTCTATTATCGCGCATTCGACTGGCTTGAGGAGTTCCGAGTGGACGTGGAAAGCTGGCACACAGAAACCGGCCCGGGAGTCTTTGAAGCGGCAATCAAGTATACGGATGCCAAAGAAGCCGGTGACCGTGCCAGCTTATTCAAAACGTCCATGAAACAAATTGCACTGAAGCATGGGTTTTTGGCTTGCTTCATGTCAAAGCCGTATCAGGACTTACCCGGCTGCTCAGGTCATATGCATTTCAGCTTGATCGACAAGCAAGGCAAAAATATGTTTTATCCGTTTGAGTCCAGTCAAGTATCTACAATCCATCCGCATATCAGTAAAACGTTGGTCCACTTTTTGGCGGGTGTGTTACATGGTTTACCAAGTATATTGGCCGTTTTGGCACCAACTATCAACAGGTTATTGCTATGAACAGGTTAAGGGATAATGGTGGTGATGAAATGTGAATGGGCTATTTCTACTAGCGGGTCGATTAACGCTGATTACGCAACAAATCCATTACCATAGCTACAAACGGCTTTGTGGCAATTTTTGGACTCCTATCACTGTCTCTTGGGGAGTCGAGAACCGCTTGGGTGCTGTCAGAGTGATTGTCCCACCCACTACATCCCCTAATGGCACACGATTAGAAATGGTAAAGTGTAGTGGAAAAAGGAAAGTGAACACAAACGGGGTTCTAACAGGCGGCAAATCATGCCGACATTGCTGTAGCGTGTGTCAGGAGCAGACATCAATCCGCATTTGGCCATTGGCGCGATCCTGAAATGTGGAATCTGGGGCATAAAAACATGTCAAACGTTACCTGTTTCGGCGCTCGAAGACGATGGACGTGGTGCAGAACAAAGTTCAGGAGGAGAAGGTGGAAAAGACAAACAACAAGGACAACAGCTTGCAAGGACATTACAGGAAGCGGTAGCTGCTATGGATGCGGAATCATCGGTTGCACGTCAGGTGCTCGGTGATTCGTTTGTCGATCATTTCGTCAAAACGAGGAAGCATGAATGGAGTTTGTGGCAGAATGCAGTGACTGATTATGAGCTGAAGCGCTACATGGAACTAGTGTAAAAAAACATCTACACCACATCATTTAACACACATATACTACAGCTATCATCTATAAAGGTCCTTCCGTCTTTATGATTATATACACCATATAATCAGAAAAGCTTTTTATTTTTATTTTTTTTGGGAAAAACATGAAAAGGTAAAGAGGGGTTTTGGTTTCATATGTATAAGAGTGGGGCTTTTAAGTAGTAGGTAGTAAGTAAGGGAGAGGGGTTCCTTCATACAGTGCACTTATTAGGAAGAGAAGAGTGATATAACATGCCGTCGTTGCAAGAAAAGAATATGTAAGTGAGAACACAAAATACAGAGGTATGTAAAGGTATTGTTTGTCGATAATGGTTGAAGAAGAATGGAAATAGAGAGAAGATGGTATTTGCTGGTCAACATCGTCAGAGAGTTGTTGATGAAAATGTCATTAGAATATGTACAAGAGAGAAAAACAAAAGTGGCCAAAAGAAGTGTATATAAAAAAGAGAAGAGAAAACACACATACGATAAGAAAAAGCCAAAAGGCGGATTGCGGAAGAGGAAAAGGATGTGTAAAAGTACAAATTTTTTGGTGGTTTGGCTGGATGAATGAAAAGAAGAGCTACACAAGTAGATGGCAAAGTGGACGATGCTATTAAGGAGCCATTTGAAAGAAGGCATCGTTCGTCGTCGTTTGGGCTTGAATGATCAATTTTCGCTCTCTCCAGTGTTGAGCATAAGGATAGATGGAAAACGAATAGTGAAGGGTATATGATGGCGTAACTTTTAAAACTTTTGAAATCAGGGCTTTGGCACAGGGCGGAACAAGCGACGACGACGACGATGACGGCGTGAAAAGTTGAGATTATTTTGGTCGCAACAGTCCACAGTACTTTTTGGAGTGACCATACTAGATGATACGAAGAACAGGTTCTAATTAGCCCTCTTTGAAACTAAATAAATAATATAACTACGCGCCTCGTCATTGACAGACAGACGCGTCCAAAACGATGTTTCTCTTTTCTTACCTGACCACAATGAGTGCTAACATTAGCAATAAAAGAAAGATATAAGGTTAGTTTATCCGCGTTTGAGTGCTCTGGAAAACCTATAAGTCGATGGGGGTTAACTATGCCCCGGTATGTTCTTACCACTGTCCACCGCTGAGATTTATAGGTTTCACGTCGTTGACGAGTGTCGATTCGATGCTTGTAGAGGATGCAATGACCATGATGATAATGATGATGATATATATTACAGAAATTGGATATTGGGAGGAAATGCAGATAGTGGAGGCAAAGACTAAAGAAACAAGAGACAAGAGAATATAAAAAAAGTGTGGGGAATCGACGAGTTAACTTCTTTCTACCAAGCTTAAATAGCTTTTTTACTTTGTCATTTTTTGTTTACCTTCCAGCAAGTGTAACTTTAAAGGTTAGGTTAGTATCAAATCAGGGATTTAAATAATTGTTGTTGTTGTTTTGTTGAAAAGAAAGAAGCGATTCCCCAGATTTAGATATACATGGAAAGAAGCAAGCAAATAAGGCGTTCAATCTCATGTCATTCGATTTCCCGAAACACACACTCACTCACTACATACATTCCACATACAGACACTTGTTTCAGATTAGCCTCTTCCATCATAATTAATGTGTAGTTCATTCACCCCGGATACACTTGGTTGCTAGTTTACTTATTGCTATGTTAGTGGTTGCTATGTTGGAGGTTGTTGTTTAAGTTACATGTTAAATAACCCATTGCTATATAGAGGTTGTTGTCATCATTGATCGCCTTATTCCTCTCCACAATATCTTGTCAAACGATATAGGGGATGACACAGATGCGTGTTGTGTGTAAGTACCACATGTACGACAACGGAAGCTAAAAAAAATCCGGGGCTGGCGATCAATAGGGGCTGCTCTCATTTCATGCCGAGAGATAATTGATGATGACAGTAAATGTCAAATTACAATCAGGTTTTTTTCGATGGGAAAATTCGTGACGATGTATTGTAGATGATGATAATAATGGGCGTCCACGTTGCTGTTATACTATATTCCTGCTTTCTATTCTGACTTTATACAGGTGTCAAGCTTGTTGTTGATTTTGTTGTTTTGCATGACAACATTACGGGGAAGAAAAAGGGCGCCCGTGTCACTTTATTACCAAGTAATAGTAGCGCTGTGTGAGAGAATGTGTGAGTGATCCAGAATACTCAGCACACATACAACATCTTCAAGCACGTATACTCAGAGGCTATTAGCAGCAGCTACTAGTAGAAGTAATATGCTACACCAATGAGCTTCCAGCATTCGTGCTATGTTTGTTACCTCGATTATTGTTTGTAATTTTTTCTCTCGGGTCTTCCCATCCCCACTCGTTTTTTCTTCCTTCCCTATCCATTCTCTTACTCTTTGTTACTTTATTTTATCTCTCGGGTGCCGCAGAACTTTAATAACTACGACAGATGCAGGCATATTGTTATTGTTACCTTGTGGAGTAAATAACAAAAGTTTTTTTCTTTCTTTTTTAATGCAAGATGAAGGAAAACACGAAGAGGAAAAAGTTTCGGTCGGACAAACTTGTGCGGGGAGAGAAAGGGCGTTCTTCTCTCTTATGTCCATCAGTTGCTGACGTCGTTGTTGGTGTAATGCATCCTGCTCTCTTGCATATGCGTATAAACAAAAAAGAATAGCCGAACAGATGGTGGCACACTTTTCTGTTGCACCGTTCAAAAGAATTCCTAAACTGTAAAAAATCATGATCGGCTGTTCCGAACCTTACCGCCAATATGTACACAATCGTCAAATATCAAAAAGAGCAAGTAAATGTGATAGTATATGTAGCGCAGTAGTCACAGTAGCTCTATTGCAAGTGAAAATGGGTCGCGTCCAATTTTTAGCTTTTACATCTGAAGATAAGGTAGTAATGTGTATAGCTAGCTATCGATGTGCCACTAGCCACATATCATATTTCGAGGTTTTTTATGTTCATACAGAAAGTTATGGTAAACCTGGGGGACGTTTTCTTACTCTATTTAGTAAACCTATCATTTCCAACAGTCTGACTCGCATCCTGTACATAGTCAAAAAAGAAAAGACTGTTGTATTTTTTCCCTTCTTCTATAATTACTCTAATGCTATTACCACTACTACTACATCATTTTTCTTTAAAACAACAACAACACTATTAGAGTTGTTTGTAATTAGTTTGTGTAGTATATTATATGAAACATAAAGAAGTCCGAAATTGATTCATAACAATAATATTAGTAGAAGAATGGTGTGTCAGTTACGCCCTAAACGCGACATGAGACGCAAGCATCCATGCGTATTCACTCTCAGCTGGATAAAGAACGACTTAGCCATAACACACTGCCAGATTAAGCTATAGTGTTTGTTTGAATATACACGCAAAAACGCTATGACGCAGAGGATAAACTTTGTTGACTCCCTTCATCCCCTTTCTTCACCTGATAAAGTATAATTTTTCCGAAGTTTAAGGAAATCTGTTGTTTCTGTACAGGGATTTGTGCTCCCATACACACCGCACACTTCAAAAAAGAAACGTGTATTGCTAAATACATGCGCAAAAGGGCCCTCGTCACATAGTCTTAGCCATCAATACAGTATTTTATCTAGTATATTACACGTCTATTTAAGAAAAAGTCATAACGTTCCGAAAGCACCAGGGTCGTGCACGGTCATTTTGCGCTTTATTTTTGAAGCTTTATGGGCTTAACCGGACAAGTTGTCAAAGCTAATAAACAGTGTCTCACACACTATAATGGTGTGTGAGGATGCCTGATTCGGCATAAATTAACTATTGCCTTTATGTTAAGAAAATGGCATTTCATCAGTATACAGAGGACATAAGTTGCAGACATTGCACAACTGATGATACAAAAAAGTAAAACACAAACATTACTTGCATATGACTCTACAGTATTGGATAAGAGGTGAATTGTAACATTGCATATACCGGTTTTATAAAATAGGCACTTGTGTAGCAAAGTACAGTCGGTACTAGCACTCATCTATATTACTGTGTAGGTGAAATTGCTGATGTACCGAGACCGACGACGTCATAGGGTTCTGCTTCTAAAACGTGGTGCTTTACTGCTGTCTATCTTTTTATAAAAAGACAAGCAAGCAACACTAACGGATAGACTCGCGCGGTGAATCGAATAACTGCTGCATCTACTGGTATGACACTTTCCATCTGAAATACTGTTAGTATTAGCTTAGCTCCGCGCTCCATATCATATAAATTATTGATTGGAAGCTATGTAAACAGCTGTAACTACAAAATCGGTTATTTCAATGGTACGGCTGCTGCTTTGAATATAGCATACTCTATGACTTTTTGGAGAAAGTAAATTCAGTTCTCTTTCTATCTAACTCACCGTCCTCTGATTGTTTTCTTCACTCCAACTCTAAAAAAGAAACTTCATTTGATAAACCAGAACACGACAAGTTTTAGTGAACGTACGAGAAATATCGTAAGTCTCGCTATCTATGCAATGTGCTTATCTCGAAATGCGTTGGGTTTAGTACGGGAAGACAAATTGTTCAAGTGCTACTCCAATGCCTGGAGATTCATTGAATTCAAGTATTGTTGCAAGCTCATAGCATGAGCTATCGAACATTGGAACGATCGCATACGTTGCTAAGCAGCAGTGTTATCGATGACACGTAGTGTTATTGTGTGGTTAAAGAAAAGATGAGATTCTTTCTTATATAATCAGACATCTTTAAATACAAGGATTATACACTTTTGGGTAGAGTAGCGAAAATACCAATACCTACTTTCAGCTCTAACCTGCACTAAGCTCAAATTACATACTTGTATGACATGGATCCTCGCCAAAGTTGGACGTAAAGCTATTTCCCCCTTCCTAGCACGAATCTAAGTATTAAATTCATGGCATGGTTTTATTATCTCAGGACTTCTCTCATGATGTTGAAGAGGCGGTCATCAGATGGTTTTGTACAGTACGGTGGACAAGTATCCATCATTACGATTGATCACTGCGATCATTCATTATACAGTACCCGCTCGTTAAATCGATCACCTCTGTTTTTCGAGAAAGTGATCGGCTTAACGAATGATTGGTTTAAAGATTGAGGGTCCACTATATAACACACATACTGCTTACCAAGCTGGTATTTTGGGGAAGTGATTGGTTTAACGAGATATCGGTTTAAAGGTGATCGGTTTAACGAGCGGGTACTGTATACGGCATTGTACAATATGTCTGAC